TATTTGTGACCTTGAGTCAGGAAAAAATTTCTTACATATTATGCCAAAAGTACCATCCATAAAAGAAAAAGATGATGAATTGTACTACAGCAAAATTAAAAATGTATGGCTTCAAAATGGACCATTTAGAAAATGAAAAGATAAGCCACAGACTGGGAGAAAATATATGCAGATCATATAACTGATAGAGGCCTTATTTCAAAATGTATAAAGAATCCTTATAACTCAATAAAGAAAATTATTATAAAATGCGCTAAAGATTTGAATAGACATTTCACTAAAAAAGATATGTGAACAGTCAAAAAGCAGATAAGAAGATGCACAACATGGTCAGTCATTAGGTAAATGCAAATTAAAACCAGGATGGAATACCACTCCACACACACTGAAAGGTTATTGTTGAAAGGGTAGACAATAATAAAAATGGGAGAGGATATGGAGAAATTAGAACCCTTATACATTGCCGGTGGGAATGTAAATGGTGCAGCTACTTAGGAACACAGTTTGACAGTTTCTTTTAAAAGTTAAACATACATTTACTATGTAACTCAGAAATTCTACTCCTAGAAGTCTACTAACAGAAACAAAAACATCCACATGCAGACTTGAATGTAAATGTTTGTAACAACTTTATTCATAATAGCTTCCAAACTAGAAACAAATGTCCATTAGCTGGTGAAATGTATAAATAAAATGTCATTTATTCATACAGCAGAATACTATTCAGCAATAAAAAGAACAAAATATTTATACATGCTACAATGTGAACCACAAAAACATACTAAATGAAAGAAGCCAGGTGCTAAACCCCATATATTATAGGGATCCATTTATGTGAAACATCCAGGTATATCATAGAGACAGAAAGTAGTTTAGCAGCTGCCTGGGGCTGAGTGTGGGAACAGGGAGTGACTGCAAATGGGGTCTTTCTGGGTGATGGAAACGTTCTAAAATTGAGGTGTGGCAGTGGTTGCACAGTGTTGTAAATTTGTTAAAAGTTATGGAATTATCCCCTTGAATGAGTGAATTTTATGGTGCATAAATATTTCTTAATAAAGTGTTAATGATTAAACAAGTTTAATTTATATTATAGTGGCTGGCACATGGTACTCGATAAGTGGTAGTATTATTTATTGAGGACTTATTTCATCTGAGCTCGGACCTGATGCCTCAGAGGCAAGGACAGTAAGGAGTGCTAATAGCCAGCACTTACTCTTCGCTAACCACTCTGTACACTTTACCACCTTTAGTCCTCCAAAGTCCTCTGACGCAGGCAGTATTATTATGCCTGTTCTGCAGATAAGGAGGTGGAAGCTTTGTTAAGGTCACAGGGCCAAGGCATGGAGAACCCCTTGCCTCCAACTGATTTAACTTGTTCTAATGTATTTTGAGCCTTTAAGACCTAAGAATTTCTCGTCAGGTCATGGGGCCTGCCAGGTGGCTATGAGCATCTCTTTGTTCTATGCTTGGCCCTGATGAATCTTTCCCTGTTTGAAATCTTGATACAAGAATTAGAGGTCATCTGGCAGTTCAGCTGTGTGATGAGACTGTTAGTTGCCATAACAGTAATTATCTGCCTGCTTGAGACTCATGTTCATCCTTGTTATAAGACTGTGACCTGTCTTGCCCCATGGTGGAGGGTGGTGACGTGAGCCACTTCTGAACATTGCCTGATTGGCTCCTGTGACTGGGACCAGAGTTTCCACCTTACTCCTGCCCTGGGAGGTCCCTGGAGGTCAGGAAAATTTTCCCCAGGGGTTTCCCTCAGCCAGAACTCAGTAGGCCCATGGTCTGTTCATTATTTTCCTTGGGCCACAGTGCAGCCTCGCTGTAGGACGAAAGAGTTTGGAATGTTTTATCTGCTTAGGATTTAGCTCCCAGCGATGCTGTGTTCTGTGGGGCTGAAGGTTTGGGCAGAGTTTCAGTTGCTAGATGGGCTTTAAGTCCTTGGGCCCAAATCTTGATTACACTTTTACCACCTTGCTTTAGTCCTAGAATTCTTATGGTTTCATTGGCTCTAACCATTAAACACATGGCTAATGTTCTGTACTAGATTCCTATTAGATATTAGCTGAGGTCAGGTGTGAGTGAAAAATCTCCCCCATACCCACAAGCATTCAGACAAATTCACAGTTTGTGTATTTTCTGCAGTTGACCATTTGATATATTTAGTATTTTGTCATTATTCCCTAAACTACCTTAAATTTCTCCTACTCTTTGTCTTTGCTAAAGGCATCCCCCATGTCTGGATTCAATCCACTCACTGATCACTAATCAATTAGCCCCCATGGCCAGGCCCTGGGCGAGGTGCACAGGGGAGGCAATGAAGCCTAAGAATACTCCTTTCCTCTAGGAGATTTTAGACTGGTTGGAGAGACAGGAAGCACACACAGAAAGAGGAAGTTCACATTAATTGAGTAAATGGAATGGGGAGGGAATAATTCCACATCTTTAAACTGCAATTGAGTCTAGATTACCTGGGTCAGATTAATCATGGGTGAGGTTTAGCAGGGACCTAGACAAACACATCTCCAGGGCAGGCCTCTCTAAGCCGATGCTGCACAGCTCTGATTGCTCTCCCAGAGTGGGAGCAGACAGTCAGGGGCCGGGTTGGGCTGAGTCTCAGAGCAGTTCTGTTGACAGATTCTCAAGACTTATCTCTCATTTTGTTTTAACTGAAATTTGGGGGTTATCTGTGATTTTTCAGCAGCTCTCCATCCCCCAAATTGCCTTAATTCCCACTCCAGTTCATATGCTCCTGGATCATTGAGAAGTGAACATATATATCTAAGCCTTTATGAGGCAAAAGTTAACTCAAAGCTCACTCCCTTTTGCACTGACTTCCAGTGTTCAAAGGTCTGGGCTTTCTCCTGCTTCCCTCCTTATACTCTTTCCATCACGTTTTAGCTAAATTATGTGCTAAACTGGCCTTTGTAGTATGGAGGTCAGAGCCATTGACATGGTTTCTGCAGGAAAATGTATTCTGTCCTAATAACAGAGCAACTCTGATTCTCCTTCCGTTCCTCCCATGACGACGTTGGGGCAACTGCTCTGTGGAATGAATCCCTTTGGTCTGTGGAGGGGAGGGAGGGGAGTGGAGTGTGGGTGGACAGAGAGTGGGCCTTACTCCTCCTCCCCTTCCAGCATTCAACCAGAGCTGCATCATTTTTGTCTTGCTTATTTGTTGGCCTTCAGCATATGAATTCTTCTGAACACCAAATCCTGTTGTTAAGCACAAAATTATTGAAAACCACTCTTATAAGGAAGCTGGTATTAAGTCATATCTAGTAATTTAAAGAGAAGTGTGCTTATGAACTTGAAATAACAATCCAGAGAGGCAAGTTTATTGTTAGTCCTGGACATCCCTGTGTGTGTGTGCCCTCTCTGCTGTAAGTTCTGAGAACACTGTAGTCTAGAGCTTTATTTCACCACCCGACTTTCAACCCTGTCTTAATCCTGAAGAGAATCAAGTGGTATTCAGATTTAGGGGATTAGAAAGTTATGTATCTTTAAACTTTTGTACAAAGGTTTTAAACTTTTTGAATTTTCCCTAAATGTACTTTTTCTTCCTATCTTCTTAAAGTAACACTGAAAATTATTTTATTTTCTTTGCATCCAGGTGAGAAATTATTAAATAATTTTAAAGGATTGTGGTTTCTATAATTTTTCTCTTGTGGGGCTTTTTTTGGGCACTAAAGGCAATGAACTACGCTAATGTTTTTGTCATGAAACACATTCTGTAGATCCAGCCCGGTTCACCATCTGGTTGCTTCTCATAGCTGGAGCCAGGAATCAGAAGCCAGGCCATTCTGCCTCCCTTGCTCACCATGATTCCAGGAAGTTTCTCAACAGCTTGATCTCCAGGAGTAAGAACATGAGCCTGGCTGGCTCCACAGGCTTGTTCTGAAGTGAAATGAATTACAATGCCATGTGAAGGCGTTTTGCAGACGGTAAGAGCTACACAAATCTACATGGTCAAGTCTCCCAAAGGGAGTCGGTTTCTGTGTTTTTCACGTGACAAGGACACTTGTTATTTAAAGACACCTTGACTTACTCTTTAGTAATTTGAGGTTGAATTTCTTTCAAGAGAAAAAGAAATGATAAAGACCGTGGGACTTACCTTGAGTAACTACATAGGGATTTTTTCACAATTTATTTATATAAACGTCATTTTAAGAGAAAGAATAATGGTCTATCATGTGTGTATATTTGTAACTTGATTTTATTATTTTCTCCCATGCTACTACTATTCCATACAGATTTGGCACTTAAGTTTTAAGTCCATAGAATTTTGCATTCTTTTATTAAAAACAGAGGTATCACAAAGGAGAAGGTAGCAACAGTGATGCTTTACATTTTACTTCTCTTGTTCATGTGCATGAAGTAGTTGGTCTTAACAGGAGAACATTCATATTTTGCACATATATTTTAAGTGTATAAACAGCACAGTCCATTGTATTAAAACAGAGAGACATTACAATAATGAATGCAGAAACAGTAAGGCTAGATTTTTTTTTTCCTAAAAGAGGTTGTAGAATGTTTACATAGCTCAAAATACTGAATATTTTTCATTTTTAAAAATCCTTGAGTTTTCAAATAGTACAACTGAACTGCACTTGATTCATTAATATTTGGAGTACAGTGCTTCCCTTCCCTCATTTTGTGTTGTGATAGAGGAAATGGGTTTCAGTATACATGATTCAAGTGAAAAAAAACCTGCATATTTAATTCCAAAATATTCACAGACTGAGAAAAAGCTCTTTTGGAGTAGTGATGTTTATTTTATAGTAATTCTATAGCCAAACAATTTATTATGTTAATGCAGATATATAAACAGCTTTTTCAAATAAAATACTTACTATTTTCTAGCTGCCTTACAGAAATTATTTACTCAAGAAAACAGAACAAATTTCTCAGTGTCATTAATCAGCTTTGTAAATATTTTGCCAGAACTTTTTTTTTCTTGGGATGGGGGAAACAAATAAAAAAAGTTTAAAAGTTCATATGTGCCTATTTTGTTTTAGCTTGGTGTATTTATTAAGAGTAAATTCTGTATGTCTTTGCAGTTCATCAATATGCGTGTTTAGAAGTTTCTCAAGTTCTTTTGCGCGCCTCTCTTCCTCCAGAAGGAAATGCTGTGCAGCCAAGGACGCTGGGAAGGACATATCTGGGGGAGACTGAGGAAAGAAAGAGAAGTTAGATGAGGAACAAAAAGCTTTTTAAAATCTTCATGTTCCCAGGCATTCCTCATCCCTGACATATGGTCAAGTACTGCAACCCGTAAGCAAAGAATATACCTCAAGCTGAATTCCCTCCACTAGTGCGATGCAGCCTCTGATGAAATTCTCAAGGAACTGAAGCAGCACAGCCCCGTTACATTAAAACGCTCTAGAACTGACTATTACAGTGGCCAACCTCATACGCAGGGACAACACAATTACCATGAAAGCTACCTAAAACATACTCCGCCAATTTGCAGAGCCAATGATTTTCACCTGAAAATAGGCAACTCTGAAATGCTAAAGTGAAGATTATAATAGAATAGGGCAAAGAATGTTTATATAGGAAAAATCAAGACTGGCTGCAAAAGGGGGCTAATTGCTGCTTGGAGTTAGTCAGGTGAGGAGGGCTGGTGGTATGATCTATCTCAGGGGGAAGAGTGGTTTCTAAGTGGGGGGCCCATATGCTGGGAGGGATCTTGTTTGTCCAGTTATCGCTGAGAGAGCCTCAGTGATGAGTGCCCAGTTCAACCCTTCACGTGATGAGGAAGGGCTCATTTAACTGACCTACTTTTCAGTGCTTACTTTTACACACACACACACACACACACACACACACACACACACACACACACACACAAAATCTGTGGCTGAGGAATAATGGGTAATATTAGATAATTTTATAGCACTTTATTCAAAATTATTTTTAAGTTAATTTAAAAATGTAAGTTGGGGAAAATTGTACTTAAATCTCCTAGTTCTGTGGTCCCTAGACCCTTCTTCAACTTTTGCTTTTTTTAGGAAGAATGGGACTTTATAAAGGGTTTGAAGAGTCAACAATTTGTATGCAGGTGAACTTTGTTACAGGGGGTCTAGTTCACAAGTCTGGCCTCTGCCAAAAGTATATGGATCGTGGCAGATGATGGCGAAGTGCTGCACACTTCCTGAAGCAGTAGCCCCAGCTGTCGCTGTGGTGCCAGGTACAGCACCTTTACTAAAGTGGAATATCACAGCTGTGGGTACATGGGATGCTGCTGTTGATCTGGCAAAGGTGCTTTTTTTAATACTGAGTAAGGAGTAGGGCCAGAAGCCTTTAGCATTCTCATGGGCAGACAAGAGTACGTGCCCATGTTTTTTGCCCCACATTGTGTTATGTTACTGATGCTGTCACAATAAATTCTGAAGGAGCCTGGGTCATCTGGATATGCCAAGGACTCCAGACTGTAAAACATCACATCATATATTAACATTAACATAACACTAAGACTTGATGAACAAGAAGTGGCAAGACTCCAGGGAGTCTTGTTCCAGGGAGTGAAAGACAACCCATCAACGATTCAGGGGCTTGACAAAGTGTGTTCAGGTGTCCAGTGATGTGGACCATGTCAACATTATCTCCTCTTAAACACAAATTAATGCATCTTGCATTTCTTATCACTATGAAAGAAGCATAAAGCTTGATAGGTCTCTTTAGGCTTCAGGTTTTGGAGGTAGCATGTTCTACTTTTGGGTGGAATAATCTGACTCATTTATCGGGGGACACAAACTGCTCTTTTTGTTGTTGTTGTTGTCATTATTTGTTTGTTTTTTAGCAGGGCCCAGAGAAAGAAAGGGCTCTGCCGTAGGTTGGGAAAGGCATACAAGCAGTCCTGCTACCCGGGCCAAATGACTTACTAGAATAATCTTTTGCAGAGAAAGATGTCACGTGGAGCTTCTAGCAAGTCTCATTTGGAAAGTGGCATTGCAGACCCTTAAACTTCTAGAGCAAGACCACACCATCTATGGCAGAAAACTGTATCCTGTTTGCAAAACAGTTCCTGTCATGTGACTGAGCCCCAGTTGGGACAGAGCATCTCAGAAAGTGGACAGGGTGACTTGATCTAGCCTCTGTCCTTGGCCACGTCAGCGGACATTATGCATGGGCCCAACAGGCAGTCTCCCTTTCACCAAAGTTACTCTAGCTACTATTGCCATTGAATGTCTGATCTGCTTGTGCTAAAGGCCAAGGCCATTCCTCAAGGAGACCCGCCAGTCTCATCTTTTGGTGGTAATTAGATTACATCAGGTCCCTTCCATCTTGGAAAGGGCAATGTTTTATCCCTATCAGAAGTGACATGTATTCTGCCTTTCCTGCCTTGGCCAACAGCACTATTGCTCTCTGAGTGACTGATATACTGACATGAGATATTAACTGATACTAAAGGAACCTACTTTCCAGCACAGGAGTAGGGGCATGACCATGGTATCCACGGGTCATACCACATACAGCACCATCCAGAGGATGCTATCCTGATAGGCTTCCTGAAAGCACAGCTGAGGCATCAGCTTGGAAATTATGTCCTGTGAGGAGAGGGTGCCATCCTTAAGGATGTGGTAGAGACTGTACACCAATTGCTGCTATTTGCCACTGTGTTTCTTATATGTGTAATAAATGGATTGTGGAATACATGGATCTGGGAACACAAGGGTGGATGGAGGAATGGCTCTACTCTCTACCACTTGTATTGACCAACTTAGAGAATTTGTGCCTTCTGTCTCTGTACTTTTGTGCTTTGTTAGTCTACAGGTCAAGGGTCTAGAGGGAGAATGCTTCCACCAGGAACCTATAAGAGTCTCAGTGAACTTAAAGCTCAGCCTGGCACCCAGTTGCTTTGGGCTTCTCATGCCGATAGATCAGAGGCACAGAAATGAGGTTCTATACTGGCAGAGGTCATCAACCATAATCATTCCTAAAAGGTGAGACTAATACTACATAATGGAGACAGTGAGAGATATGTTTGGTACTTATTTACTTACTTACTCAGGTAACCCACTGAGGTGGCCTTTTGTTACTCTCATGCCTAGTTTTAACTGTAAATGGCAAACCACATCCTGATAAGGGCATGGGAACAAAGGGCTCACCCCACAAGGCAAGCCACCTGGACCAACAGAAGTGCCAGCTGAGGGGGAAGGGAATCTAGAACAGGTGAAGAGATGGTGAATATCAGTTAAGCCCTTGAGACCAACTGCAGCATCAAGGGATGTGCCACTAACCCTCCTCTTATAAGTATTCCCAGAAATTGTGACCAGCCAGAATCTTGGAGAAGCTATGCCTGAAAGGAATGAACAAGATGAAAAGAATATAGATTTGAGTGATTCAAAAGGGGGACTGTAGTGGATGCTGCTGGATCCCCTTCACTGGGCTGGTGTGTCTATCCTGCAGCAGCTGTGTCAACTGCTAATAGCTCACAGCTGGCCACTTCTTTGGAGACCTGCCCTCGGCTGAACAGAACCTCCTGTTGCATCTGAGAAGTTGCAACCCCTCCTTCAGCCTGTTTCCTCTCAGAGGCAAGACTGACTGACACAGGGACACAAAACACCAGGCTTCTTGCCCCTCAGGGAACCAACTATATTGTGCAATCCATGCTCCAAGCTCCTGATGAGACCAGGCTGAACTAATCTCTAGCTCAGACCTCATCCTTATTCAGCTTTCCTTCCCTCCTCTCACCTACTTCCCTCACTCTTCTGCTGAGAATACCACCTCAATAAATCCTCTCATAAGAGTCTCCATCTCAGATCCTAGGGAACCTGATTGACCTCAGACAGATTCTGGCTTGAGTAACTGGGTGACATCAAGACCATTTATTGAGAAATAAAAACAGTAAAAGGAGCCCGGTAAGGGTAAGGTCTTATTTATTTTTGATTCCTTCCAGTTCTAGAACAGATTCTGAATATTTAATTAATTTGTGAACAAAAAATGCATTAGATTTTGGATAAAGCTGAGCTAGAGGTGACTTGGGACTCAGATTGTTAAGTAGAGAGTGGGATATGTCAGTCCAGAATTCAGAAGATAGATCTGGATCAGAGATACACATTTGGAAATTATAATGAGTAAAGCCATAAGTACCACTGAAAACATCCAAGATATGCAAATAAAAGAAGTTAAAAAATAGAATCCTGGGGGACATTTCATTTTAGGCACTCACTCCCATGGTCGTGTTCTTAACATTGTTGTCAATGATAACTGCATTGTTTACTAATCAATATTTTAAGCAAACTACCTGTTATCCTTCCGGCTTAGTTTAGTCTACAGCAAATGTCATACACAATGGTGAAATATTGGACACTGTCCTTTTGCAATTAAGAGAAGGATGATGGCAATACCAGTGTTACTGCTCAGCATTTACTGTAGGGTCTTTCTTGGTCAGTACAACAATGCAAGAATAAAAAAGGTAGAAAGATTTGAAAGTACAAATTGCCATTATTTTGATTCTGAATACAGAAAAATTCAAAAGAATCTTCAGGACTGGAACATATGTGCAAGTTCAAGTGAGTATTTCGATGGGGACAAGGATTGAGAATCCTACCTTGTACCATACATGAAAATTAATTCCAGATGTAGATCTAAATATGAAAAGTAAATAGCCAAAGCCATCAGAGGAAAACATAGGATAATATTTCTATAATTTTGGGATAGGTAAAAGTTTAAGTAGGGCACCTGAAATATTAACCATAAAGGAAAAGATTCATAAGTTTGAATATATTAAATTGAGAACTGTGGTCATCAAACGATATCATTAAGTGAAGAGGCAAGTGAGAGTGGAGGAAGGTATCTGCAACACATATAATCAACAACAGGTTTATATCCCAAATATATAAAGAACTTGTACAAATTAATAAGAATAAAGACAATCTGATAGAAACTTAGGCAAGAAAATTGAACAGACACTTTACAGTAGAGAATACTAAAGTAGCTGATAAACATATGAAAAGGTACTAAACCTTAGACACCAGAGAAATAAGAATTAAAACTGTAATTAAGATGTAACTAATCACTGACCATAAAAGTTAAAATTATAAGACCAATCACTACTAAGTGTTGAAAAATATATAGAACAAAGAAAACACACATTTCCTGTTGGGGTGTTAATTTTTTCAAATAGTTAGGAAAGCAGCTTGGCAGAGCCTCCTAATGTGGACTTTATGCATATCCTATTACAAAGCAAATCCACTCTTAGGTGTATACCTAATGGAAATTATACACATGTGCACCAAGAGAAACATACAGTGTTTTTAGCAATGTTATTCGTAACAGCCCCAAACAGGATATGAATGTCTGTCAACAGTAGAATGGTTAACTTGTAGTATCATTCCATGTAGTACTTTTATACCATGGAACACTATGGAGAAACAAAAATGGATAAACAAAAGCTGTGTGAAACAACATGGATGCATCTCATTGGCAGTTTTGAGCAAATGCAGCTGAAACAAAAGAACACAGAGAGTATAATACTATTTATACAAAATTTACAAATGGCCACAACTCATTTATGATGTTACAAGTCAGGATAGTGGTTACCTTGGGAGCCAGTTGAAGGAGTGATGGGAAGGGGATGTGAGGGGAGTTCTGGAGTGCTGCAGCTGTTCTATGTGTTACCTGGGTGATAGTTGCATTCACTTGTCCCTTCATGGCAATTCATCAAACTGCTGAGTTCTGATTTGTGTGCAAGGACTTGTATGCATGTCAGAGCAATAGAAAAGGTAGAAAACATCACCTATGGCTCTTTAAAATACAGAGATCCTTGAGGGCTTTCGGAATGTCCAGGAGAGAGTCCCAAGCACATGCACTTTTAAAAAGTCACTGGAATTCTGGCCTGCACTAGAGGTAAATAATATTGATTGCAAAACTTCGTGACACATTATGGATCTCTTTTCCTTCTGTAGATAGGCGTGGCCAAATGACTCAAGCACCAACATTTTTCTTTAACAGCTATGTATATATCAGTATATTGGTATCAATGTAAGAGAAATCACCTCTAAAGAAAAAAATCCAGCAACTCACCAGTGGGAATACTTCTTCATCACTAACCAGAGGGCTTGTCATTTCTTTCATTTGAAGTGACAAAGGTGGCAATGGAGATGTTGCGCTCCCACTTGGCTCACAGTCTTGGCTGAGTCTAAAAGACAAGGAGTTGTTGTCACTGTTGCTACCCAGGACATCTGTTTATGTGGCTAATTATTTTAATTTCTCTGATGTCTAACTGGGGAAAACACACCAAATGTTTGGGTTTCTTATCTAGATATCTCTTTGATAAAAAGGTGAAGGGATTAAGTAAAACAAAAAACAAACAAAAAAACCCCATCTCATAGATGCAGACAACATTATGGTGATTATCAGAGGGAAACAGGTTGGGGAGGAGTAGGAGAGGGTATAGGTGGGCATAAATGGTGACAGAAGGAGACTTGACTTGGTGTGGTGAACACACAATACAATATACAGATGATGTATTGCAGAATTGTACACCTGAAATCTGTATGATTTTATGAACCAATGTCACTCCAATAAATTAAAAAAACAACAACAACAAACCCCCAACCTGAAGGAGACAGGGGCAATGGGAGACATACAGGGCTACAGAAGGTGTGTGGAACTGGAGGGAGGGGAGATGGAGGTCGGGAGACAGACAGCAAGTGACAGCAGATGGGAGGAAAGGGGCTGCCACGATAGGGGGCCCAGTACAAATAAACAAGCAATTAAGGGCAATAAAAAAATAAAAAGAAATAAAAAGGTATTTGTTTAAGAATAATTTCTACTTTACTTAAAAGACTTAGAATGATTAACAATAAAGCAGAAAACTTTGTGCTATAATTGTTAAAAATGTTCTGCTATCCTTATGACTTACGTTGCTCTCCTCTCTTTTACTTTTGTATCTCTGCCACTTAAATAAATAACGTGAAACCAGTTTGAGAAAAATCTCAAAACAGTGAACAATGCTGCCTTCACAGTTCTGAATAGATACTTGTTTTCTCTTTTTCTATTTCACCTACCTCACTGTCTTTCTTAACAGCATTATACTTTTAAAAAATTCTAGAATAAGTCTTTGTATAATAATAATTCTCATTCCTATAGGAATTAATAATTTATAAGGTTTTCAATTTCTATTATATCTTAAGCTCCTCCACACTGTCTGTTGACCTTGAGCAGGTGACTTTATCTTTCTGTCACTCAAGTGTTTTCATGTGTAAAGAAGGCTGTGTGAGAATTGAACTCCACAACTCATATGAAAGGCATGGTGCAGAATTTGCTGTTTGCAATAAATATAGGGTAGAAATGAGACTGAATAAAATGCCAGTGAGGTTTTTAATTTTGGCATACTGACTAAACAAATGAGTGATAAAACCAAGAAACAAACCAATTTACCCTAAAATTTTACCCAGAAAGTCCCAACAGGATGGGCCATGTGGGTCTAAATATGTTTTTTAGCATTAAACCATGAAAGTGGTGTTTAAATTTAATAAAAATCATCAAAGACCACACAGAAACATAAAAATCTCTTTAATTTAAAATTATTTGTTTTTACTTCTCATTCAAACTCTGTGGGTATTGATTAACCATTTTCAAAGTCTTCATATTTTAATCTCACACAATTCAAAAACACTTACATTATTTCTCTATTTTTATCCAAAGACTATCTGCATATACTTGTTTCTCATTATGCAAAGATTTTCAAAGCTATGCATACAAACAGCAATAAAAGTTAAGTGAGGCATCTGTAAATTAGTTTGTAAAAACAAATGTGATATGTGTTCCATTTTTACTTATCTTGAAATATATCTTCTTTTGAATTCATTCTCCCAAACCATAATTACCATGGAAACAAAACAACAAATTAAGCTGAAATAACATGGTTTGTGATGTGCACAATCAGATGAAATATCCTTCAATCAAACAGAATTATAACAATTGCATAGTAAGTACATACATCTGCGTAGAATCTTCTGTTGAACCTTTTGAGTGAGCCTACCATCTATACTTCAAAGCACAGTGGCAAAAGTAAGATAATTATAGAAGTGATTCAAGAAATATATATATCTTTTTGTAATCTCAAGTATACAGAGATTTCGGGAAAAGTATTTTTTTTCTAAATTATCTAAATAATTATCTCAATTACCCATTTTCCTTTGGATGTAGAGATATTTTATGGTGTTATTTACTAAAATTTATATAAGAACATTCTTTTTATGGTAAGATCAATAAAATGTAGAGACTGAAAGGAAAGACTGCATTATGAAGTAAAGTACTTTTGCTTTAAATCATCTTTATATCTGACACATCCTTCTTCTAGGATACAGCTATTCACATACTTCATAAAACCACCTTGCATAAAATGCTAAGTATATCAATTTAAAAGCCACCTCAAAAATTATTTCAGAAGGCTTTTAATATCCTCTCATTAGCTAGTCTGTTCAGTTATCTTTTCCATGGGCACTATTCCAAGGCCTCTGTCTATTTTTGCCAGCAGGGCAGGATCTGATCACTCTGTTGGGAAGAACTGTACCCACTTCAGATCTGAGTCAACTCTTGGCACAGTTTTCAGAGTTGTCTGACTGTCCATCCGGCCCTGGTGCTCCATTAATTTTCCCCACATTGCAGGACAATGTCCTCAGCAAAGAACAGGATCCCTTCCCAACTATGCTAATTTACTTGCTTCTGGCCTCACCTTCTAGCACTCCACATAATGCTCCCAGTTCTATAGACTCCTTATTATCTCCCAGCCTAAGATTGTTCAGCCTGTTGTTTTGCTCCTCATGAGTAACACCATGGTACAAATTTTTTCAACTTACTTCACTTCTTAGTTGACTTCTTGATAAGGGATCCCATGAGAGTGATTATGACAAACTTTCTGACTTTGTGTTTTTTTAATATTTAAACTTTTATTAACTAGACTTGAAGCAATTTTAATGATAAATTTTGTGATTGCTAAAATTGTTCTAGTACATCATATAACTTTTAAAACCATAAATTCACTTTTAAGTATGTATCTTAAATAGAGACAAAACTTCATTTATTATAACGGATTTGTCATTAAAATTGGTTATATATTACTAGCTGTAGATACCATTACTCCAAATTAGTTTGTAAATTATCCTAAACTTCGAAACTCTTAACTATTAAAAACATTAAAAATATTCAATGCATCCTTATCCAATTCAATTACATTTCATTCATATTTTTGTTAAAATGCCAAATTACTGTGTTATTGGTAAACAAATCCTTTGGAATATCCTTAAATGCTTCACATTTTAAGTCAATGGGCATTAAAAAATTACTTCTAACAGGAGGAAAAACAACAAAAACTGAGTTGCATCTGAGAAAATCAAAGATTATTTTAATAATGTATTATACAAATCATGTTTATTTGTTTTTTGAATGCTTGATGCCTTCTTTTACTTTTTTAAATTACATTTTATTGATTATGCTATTACAGTTGCCCCAATTTTTCCCCTTTTGCCCCCCTCCACCTAGCATCCCCCACTCCCTCTGGCAATGCCCACACCATTGTTCATGTCCATGGATCATGCATAGGTTCTTTGGCTACTGCGTTCCCTGTACTGTACTTTACATCCCCATGGCTATTCTGTAACTACCTATTTGGACTTCTAAACCCCCTCACTTCTTCACCCATTTCCCCCACACCCCCTCCCTCCCATCTGGCAACCATCAAAACACTCTCCATATCCATGATTCTGTCTCTGTTCTTCTTGTTTGCTCAGTTTGTGGGTTTTTTTAGATTCAGTTGTTGATAGATATGTATTTATTGCTATTTTATTATTCCTACTATTGACCTTCCTCTTTTTCTTAAATAAGTCCTTTTAAAATTTCACATAATAATGATTTGGTGATGGTGAGCTCTTTTAGTTTTTTCTTGTCTGAGAAGCTCTTTATCTGCCCTTTGGTTCTAAATGATATCTTTGCTGTGTAGAGCAATCTTGGCTGTAGGCCCTCAATTTTCATGACCTCAAATATTTCTTGCCAGTCCCTTTTAGCCTGCAAAGTTTATTTTGAGAAATCAGCTGACAGTCTTATGGGAATTCCCCTGTAGGTAACTAACTCCTTTTTTCTTGTTGCTTTTAAGGTTCTTTATCTTTAACCTTTAAAATCTTTGGCATGTTAATTATTATGTGTCTTGGGGTGGGCCTCTTTGCATCCATCTTGTTTGGGACTCTCTGTGCTTCCTGGACTTGCATGACTATGTCCTTCACCAAATTAGGGAAAATTTCTTTCATTATTTTTTCAAATAGATTTCCAATTTCTTGCTCTTTCTCTTTTCCTTCTGGTAACCCTATTGTATGAATGTTGAACTTCTTGAAGTTGTCCCAGAGGCTGCTTATACTATCCTGTTTTTGAATTCTTTTTTCTTCTTGTTCTGGTTGGTTGTTTTTTGCTTCCTTATGTGCTAAATCATTTATTTGATTCTCAGCTTCAACCACTCAGCTATTTTTTTCCCTGTGAATTGTTCTTTATTTTAATTAGTGTATCCTTTGTTTCTGATTGGATCTTCTTTATGCTGTTGAGGTCCTCGCTACATTGAGCATCCTTATAACCAGTGTTTTGAACTCTGCATCTGACAGATTGCTTATCTCCATTTTGTTTAGCTCTTTTTCTGGAGTTTTTATCAGTTCTTTCATTGTCTCCTTGTTTTGGCAACCTCCCTGTGTTTATTTCTATGTAATAGGTAGAGCTGCTTTGACTCTGTGTCTTGGTAGTGTGGCCTAATGTAGTAGGTGTCCTGTAGGTTCCAGTGGCACATCCTCCCCTATCACCCAAGCTGGGTACTCAATGGGAGGGATTTACTCAGACCAGTCAGTTGCAAGGACTGGCTGTGACCACTGACCACCAACCTCTGTGCTCCATGGAGGATCAGCTGTGCAGGGGCAGGGTGATGGTGGTGCTCTGATGTGGTCTGTAGCTGTCCACTGGGTGCACAGGCTCTGGGGTTTCCTGGGTGGTACAAGCTATGTTCAGCCCCTGTGTGTTGCTTGGGGCCACCCTGAATGAGCTACAAAGCAATCTCCAGATGGCTGCTACCTGTGCTGGGCTTGTAGGTTCCCAGGTGAAGCCAAACTGTTATCCAAAGCTGGCTGCTGGAACCACTTAGCCAGATGAGCCAAGATCAGCCATTCATGTGGAAAAGCCACTGTTAACAGCTGAGTGGCAGTTAAGTTGGGTGGGGCAGAGCCTCAGGGGATCTCAAGAGCAGAACAAATAGTATTAGCCAGAGTGATGGAGTCTTAGATGTGGCACCCACCCGCCAGCCTGAAACTCTGTGAGGGGAGGGCTCAGAAAAAGTACAATGGCCTTTGCCCTCATTTCTGTCTGGTAGAAAGCTATCTCCCCGTGCTGCATTGATGCCAGAAACTTCAGTTCTTCCTTGTATGCCATTGGTAACTTTCAAGCTGCTATCCTGGTGCTAGAGCTCAGTGGGAATAAGTCTGAGTATATATACATGCGGGTTCTTTAGGAGGAACTGCTTGGGACACTAGAAGTTTCTTCCACTGACTCAATCCCCACCATTTTTTTTTTCAGCCAGAAGTTATGGGGACTTATCTTCCTAACTTGAAATCCTGGGCTCGGGGGCCTGGTGTGGTGCTGGGACTCTTCACTCCCAAGGTTTTCCTCCCAAATTTTTATCCACCACATGTGGTTGTGGGACCAGCCCATTCTGCATCTCCACATCTCCGCCCCTCCTACCAGTCTGGGTGGATGTGGTCTCTTTAATTTCTGTAGTTGCCATATTTCCATTCAACTTAATTTCTGATGGTTCTGAATGATGGTTGTTCTATAGTTTAGTTGTAATTTTGAAGTGGTTGTGTGAGGAGGCAAGCTTTGTTTATCTACACCTCCATCCTGACCAGAAGAGATACAAACTGTGTTTAATTAAAAGACATGGCTAAAGATTAGATTACAGGCTTTAACATTTTGTGGCATTTTATTTTCCTGTATTTTTACCTAAAATCTTTTTCCTTTCTCAAATAGTTTAATAAGACCTTTTTGTATTAGCCACTGATATGTAAATATAACATGCATTTTTGGATTTTTTTATGTCTAACAAATACATATGTAGCTTTCACTATTTGACTTTGCTGAGCTGTGCTGTGAGAAAAAAAGAATATTTTATTTTTCACTTGCTCAATTTAATGGCTATGTACTTTACAGTTCTCTGTGGTGAGTTCACAGTGCCCTTGCATCTCAACAACTCTTTCCCCATGGTGGCTTTTACACAGCAATAATTTATTCAGAGCACTTGAAATGCTGTTTCTCTTAAAAACCAGGTCACAGGAGAACAGTGAAATCAGACAAAGCATTAAAACAAATTTAATGAAACTTCCAACAAATGAGAGTGGCAGGACACAGGCTTTGCAGCAGGAGTACTAGTCCACACCGCTTGTTAAGCTGATCTCCTGCTAAGCGTTTTCCCTCTTATGCTGCTTTCTGTGTCCCTGGCTACCTTGTTTTTGTCAGGCACTTTTAACACATTCTTTACTTCTTGAAAAATGGAAAAAAGGGGGCAATCTGAACAATAAAATTCTTTTAAAAAAAGGCAGAATAACTGTTTTTTTGCTTAAATAACAATACCTGGTTGTCTTCATCTAAGGCTTTCAAAGTTATTTCCAACAAGCAGGGACAGAAAACAAGGTTCTGCACCTAATGGGTGCTCTGTACAGGCTGAAGACTAACTAACATTCCTAGGAAGACCCTTTGTAATATCTTTAGGGGCCTTCCTTTCTCTTACAATGAAAATACTATAGCCATGGGGTCATGATTTGACCCATGCAGAAATGAAATTACAGAGTAGGGAATCACTTTGTAAAGGGTTTATTCTATATTAGAAAATATATTCTTCCATCTAAATCAAGATTAGACCCCTTTAGACAGCTTTTCAGTTACAGTGGCCAGTTAACATGGGCACATTCACCAGAGAACTGGCCCATGGCTTTCTCAGTGATCTCTCCCATCCTCCCACACTGCTTCCTCCCACGCCCAGCCCACCACAGCACCCCACAATCAGGGGTTTCTGGGGGTAGCAACTAGTCTTCCCTCATCTCCTTCTTTAACCACTTGAAGAGGGATAATTAATTTAGCATTTTTGGGTGGTTGCCATTTCTTGCATCAAATTAAAGTATATCCTAATACATACAGGGCTGAAGTGGTGAAAATAGGAGAGCTATAACTACATCCACAAGAATGCTGAAAAGGCATATTTTTTTAAGTGTGTCCCTTGGATTTTTGGATTTACGTACCTGAAAACTGGGCATGCTTAGTTACAAGGATGAGCTTGGCATGGCCCCTCATCCTTGTCCTCACAGGACATCCTCACAGGACTATTGTTGAGGAAATGTCAGATTCAGCCATTTATATATCCACCAAAACATACTTTCTAGGTATGTGAGTTGTGGTGGAAGTATTAATACTATAACAAACACTAACGATTTTGTTAGTAATAATAATAATAATAATGGCTAAAAGCTATGGAACTGCTATAGTTGTTTCACATGAAACTATATTTTCTCCTATAATCCTTACAAAACCCATATAAGTATTATCCCTATGTGTCATATGGGAAACAGATTTACAAAGGTTAGGTGAATTTCCTAAGAATGTAAATATTATTTTGTACGAAAACAGCATTTTCATTCTAAGTATGCTAAACTTCTGAGCAAAAGTTGTATTGAAGTTGGGCCTGGACCTATTAATTCACCATTCCTCAGCACCATGGAATGTGAATAAAGCTGATATCAAATAAGTTTGGGAAATGTTACATACCATCCCCCTTCTTGAAAACTCACAATGTACATCAGCAAAGTAATGACAGAGAGATCCTGTAGAAAAGAAACTTGTTTATTTTACTGAGCATTTTCCAAGTTTAGCAAAACACTGAAAGCCTCTAGAGAAGGTTTTGACTCCTTAAGTGTTTTATTAAAGTTGAATAAATTAGTCTAATTTCATGGTTATGTTTACTTAAATTTTGAACTAAGACATTTTTAAAGAGCATGGGGATAATATAGATAGCAGATGATGATTTTCCATATGCTTCTCTTCACTCAGAGAAAACCTTTCTTAGAATCCATTCTTTCCCTATGAATAACCAGCGGTGTTCTACTAATGCCGGTGTCAATATAAAGTGTACTGCAGTTAAGTCAGAAGTGAGCATGGAGTTCCTATATTTTCTATTTTGTTTGAATAATATATGTAACACTAAAATCTAGTTTTTCTACTCCAATGACATAAAAAGTAATATTATATATTTGTATACTTTGTACACCATGTTAGCTACTAAGAAGAGTCTGAAGTGATTAAAATTTACTGTAACACTCTACCCATTTCACTAGTATATTTTGAAAGCTATTAACAGCACAGAATTTCATAGAAAACCATGTATCTATACTATTATATTGCCACTATAAAATAAAATTTAAACTGAAGAGAAAATGTGTAAAGTTATCATTTGAATTGTTTAAAAATTAATTTCAATTAAATGTTTATACATTTATATCCTTATATAATGTAGTCAACATACCTATGTTCATTTTTTTCCATTTTTATTTTGTTTTGATAGGCATACTGTCCCGGTTCCTCGTAGGTCTTGTGATTATCCCATGCTGATTTCCCATTGGCATGAAGTTTTGCAAGATCATTTCGGAGCCTTTCATTTTCATACTCCAATTTGTTAACAGATGTGTGCCTTGAGTGTTCCCTGTTAGTGCAGTCCATACTCTGCAGAATAAAATACACCATCACTGAAAATTTGTTCCTCGTGATGCATATTTTCTGTGACTTTGGACCCCTGTCTTAGAAGGCCCTTTCATTTGCATCAACTGATGTGGCTCTATCTTTGTGTACCTTCTAAATGCCATTTCACACCCTCACTTCCTTGGGACACCAATACTTGGTGACTGATACTTCAGCTGCCACTGAACACACTGCAGTACAAGCAATGCATACACTGTTGTTCATGTTCCAGTACAGAAAAAGGCTCATGCATACCCAGCATTCTCTGTGTAACCAACTTCTAGAGTTTATATTTAAGAGTTTTGGGGTTTATAGGGCATGCCTTCTAGAGTTGATTAATAATGGAACCAGAATTAACATAGGTTTCAATTTGAAATATTCTTTTCTGATTGAAATAATACGTGTCATTATGGAAAATCCTATATTGATTCTCCAGTCTTGGTGATGTGACAAATACCGAACCCATACATTCTGGACCATTCTAAAACAATGATCTAACAGCTGAGGTTGTGCTAGTACCACACAGTTTTCAGCAACATAGCATCATGATAAAATTTTACTAACTGGTATGTGCCACCCAATTTTAACATGTCTTCAGAAGAGAATAAGAAACACATTTAAAGCATAAAATGAGAGGTATAGAGCAAGAATGAAAGATTTCTGGTGCTTTTTGAGTTTAATGTTATAAGAAGTTTCCTAGGGAAAGTTTAAACTTCTCTTCTCACAAAGTTTTAAAAAACATATATTCTCACATGAAAATGCTTTAAGTGACTCCACATAGTCCTTTGTAGTCCTATGATTTGAATACATATGAATTGTGTAGTTGCTGAGGGAACAATAGTTCTCTACTGTCAGAAGGATAATACACGTAGTTTAGCACAAAAAAGCATACTGTGTATGAAATATCTTTTTTGAAGATCCAAATTTCTATGGTTAAAAGCCTGTAAGACCATAGATGAGTATGGCCTAGAACTTCCATTGTGAAGTTTCTAAATTTAAGGCTTTCAGTGTCATTTCAGGGCATTACATCTTAGGTGTTAAAATTCAATACACATTAGGTATTAAAAACACTTACTTATTTGTTTTACTTTTTGTTTCAAAGGATAACTCTTCATACTGCATTGTTTGTTCACTGCCCAATGTATTACAGAAGTTTATAAATCTTTAGAAGGATCTCACTTTTGAATGAAAGGAAAGAGTCCAGGAGGGCAAACTTCCTCAAAATAACACAGTAAGGGTTATATGCTTGTATGTCTCTTGACTACAGTGCCCTTTGGAAAAGGACCGTGGAAGGTATTTCTCCACTTGTTAAGTCCCTGGCTGCGTGCACTATGTCTCAACAGTTGCTCGTCCGAGATACACCAGTGTGGATAAGAGTAATCTGAGTCTGCTTTAAGAGAAAAAGGATCATTTATTCTAAAATTAGATTTGTGATATGTATAAAGGTGGCAGAGTCTTATAAAATTCTGCCCTTTTAGGAAAATACTCATATGGGCAGATCTGGTTGGAAAAGGTCATGGATTCAGAATTGTACTCTCCCAAAGATACCTACTATTCAAAATGTATAATTTCTTGATAGTTTGCTGTTCAATTATATTTCACTCAAGCTTTTTCTTAGATTTTATCTGTGACTCTTTTTGGCCCAGTGTTAAAGTAATTAAGAATAATAGTAATGATTTATTTAAAAGCCTACACTTTTCTAAATGTACCATAATAAAATAAGTGTTGTGAGCATGACCTGGAAGCATTACACAGCTAATGCACTTACATGATTTATATTTATAAGCATATTCCATTTTCCTCGACAACAATGTTTTTTGAGCTCTCTCATTTCATGTTTTTTAAAATACTTCTCAAGCAAAATCAGGAATATATATCCTCTGCTAGATAGTTATCATGTTGAAAATAGACATTGATTAAATTTTTCCTCTGTATTTTTGGTGGGTTATTTTATAGGCCTATTAGCTCATTTTTTTTTCTTTAAGATTTTAAGGTTCCATAGTTTTAATCCATTTTTTTGTTCTTGAAATGGCAAAACCTCTGGTGCCTATTTACCTGAACACACTAGCATTAGACCAGTTGAATTAATGAAGTGTCTGAATAATAGTATTTTGTATATGCACTTACTCTTTTAAATTCATGTATATTCAAACATAACATTTGGGCTAAGAAAGTATTTCTACAGGACTGGCTTTAATCATGCCTTATGGTTAGTATGCTGATTTTCAGGGTGTAAATGGATGTTTTAGATACTTGTGAGGACACTAATTTTTATGCTATTACTTTATTTAGCAAACTTTATGGATAGTAAAAGGCAAATTAGTCTTTAAAATCACCATAAATTCTGAGATCCAATTAAATCTCATTTTATGACACTTTCTTTCTATGAAAGAAAATTTAGTAAATATAAATACAGTTCAGAGTAAATATGAAATTACACAAATTATCATGATAGACTGGATTCTTTGTGAGCTCCCCAGGAGCAGAATAAAGATAAACCCCTCACTTTTCTCCATGCAGTTAAATTTTTGCACAAATCCAAGGAAAACATATTTTTTCAGAGCCAAGAACCTCTTTCTAGAACTATTACTAGTGTAAGACTCTCACTGAGACGTGAGGAACTCACATACAAGGCAGTCAGTCCCATCAGTGTGTGCCCTTTGGAGGACAATGGGAGCTGCCCCAGCGCCCCACACTGCATCACTGGATAATGCTGCGTGCAAGGCTGCTGTGGCTGCCACTGGCAGGTGCGTTTTAACACTGCTTTCCCTAGGTATCAGTCAGCAGGGGGCCTCAGTCAGGCAAGCAGAAAAGTTCTCAAAGCTTTAACTATTTAGAAATAACTTACCTTAATATCAGTGACTTCACTTATCTAGAAAGGAAAAAAACTATTATTTTAATGTTATATGAATACCACATATTTTAGAAGACTTAACAATAATGATGTTAATATTTTGTTTCTCCTTCTCTGAGGCACAATTTTAGCACCAGTGACTTAATTCCATATTTGCTCATCCAAATTCTTCAGAAGGAAGTAAGTAATTATCTAGCTATGTAATTAATTTAACACATAACAGATATGAGTTTTCTTCATAAAATCTTTAAACTGAGTCCTAAATAAGTGACATAATAGATTGTAAACTCTCAAAGAGCAAAGAATTATACTGAAGTCTTTTTAAATTTAATAGACGTGAGATTTTTCTCTCATATTTGGGGAGTGCTTTGACTGTTTCAATTATCAAAGTCAATTCTAAATCTTCATACAAAAAATAGAGCAGTTATAAACTTCAAATATGAATTATAATCATACATAAAATATATATAACTAAATCGTATTTCAGTAAGTATCACACTGAAGGCCATATCTCAATGGTATTCCATTTTATGATATCCAATTATCCAATCTCTAAACAAATGTACATTATATGTATATGTTTTAAGTGCTACAGAGGTAATCAAATATGAAAAATAGATTTTCCCTTCATGATAATACAATAAAAAATTGAGCAAATTAGAGCTTCTGATCAAGATGGAAGCATAGGTAGATATATATTGCTTCCTCACACAACAAAAAGAATGACAACAACCAATTTAAAAACAGACAAAAACCAGAACTGCCAGAAAATCAAACTGTTTGGAAGTCCAACAGCAAAGGAGTTAAAGAAAAAAACACTTATCCAGACTAGTAGGAAAGGTGGAGACAGGCAGCCAGGGCAGAGAGGATGTGTGGCAAGTCAGTGGCTGGTGGACCAGGAGGTCCCACATTCACATGCAAATAAACTGGAAGGCAACAACGGGAGCAGGGGGGGGGGGGGGGGGGGGGGGGGGGGGGGGGGGGGTTGGGGGGGGGGGGGTGGGTGAGACAGACCATGCAACCCAGGGCTCCAGTGTGAGGAAATAAAGCCTCAAAACCTTGTGGTGGTTGAAGTGGTGAGGGAAACTCTCAGCTTCACAGGAAAGTCTGTTGGAAGGACACATAGGATCCTAGAATGTACACAAGCCCACCCACCTAGGAATCTACACCAGAAGGGCCCAATTTGCTTATGGATAGTGGAGGAAGTGACTGAAAGTCAGCCAACAGCCAAGCAAGCAGCATTGTTCCCTCTCTGTCCCCTCCATCTCATACAGTGCCACAACCCAGTGAAGTGGGTTACACTGTCTGTCAGACACCTAGGGCTCTGCCCCTTACAATGTAACAGGTGCACCAAGACAAAGAAAATATGGCCCAAATGAAAGAACAGAACAAATTCCAGAAAAAGAACTAAGTGATGAGGAGATAGCCAGGCTATCAGATACAGAGAGTTCAAAACACTGTAAATCAGGATGCTCACAGAAATGATTGAGTAGAGATGCAAAATAGAGGAAGAAGTGAAGGCTATACAGAGTGAAATTAAAATATACAGGGAACCAACAGTGAAGGGAAGGAAACTGGGACTCAAATGAATGATTTATAACAGAAGGAAGAAATAAACATTCAACTAGAACAGAATAAAGAAATAAGAATTCAAAAAAATGAAGAGAGGCTTAAGAACCTCTGGGACAATTTTAAATGTACCAACATCTGAGCTAGAAGGGGAAGAGGAGGAACATGAAAATGAAAACTTTTTGAACAAATAATGAAGGAGAACTTCCTCAATCTGGCAAAGGAAATAGACTTCCAGGAAGTCCAGGAAGCTCAGAGAGTCCCAAAGAAGTTGGACCCAAGGAGGAACACACCAAGGCACATCATAATTACATTACCCAAGATTAAAGATAAGGAGAGAATCTTGAAATCAGCAAGAGAAAAGGAGACAGTTACCTACAAAGGACTTCCATAAGACTCTCAACTGATTTCTCAAAAAAAAAATCTTGCAGGCAAGAAGGGGCTGGAAAGAAGTATTCCAAGTCATGAAAGGAAAGGACCTACACCCAAGATTGCTCTATCCAGCAAAGCTTTCATTTAGAATGGAAGGGCAGATAAAGTGCTTCCCAGGTAAGATAAAATTGAAGGAGTTCATCATCACCAAGCCCTTATTATATGAAATGTTAAAGGGACATATCTAAGAATAAAAAGAAGATCAAAACTATGAACAGTAAAATGACAACAAACTCACAACTATCAACTACCAAACCTAAAAAAAAAAACAAAAAATAAGCAAACAACTAGAATGGGAACAGAACCACAGAAGTAGAGATCGCATGGAGGGTTATCAGTGGGGAGGGGGAGGCAGGAGACTGGGGGAAAGGTACAGGGAATAGGGAGCATAAATAGTAAGTACAAAATAGACAGGGGGAAGTTAAGAATAGTATAGGAAATGTAGAAGCCAAAGAACTTATATGTAGAACATATGGGCATGAACTAAGGGGTGTGGGGAATGCTGGAGGGAGCAGGGTACAGGGCAGAAGAGAATAAAGGGGAAGAAAAAAATGAGACAACTGTAATAGCATAAATCAATAAAATATACTTAAAAATATACCTACAATTGAGTTGATTAAACTAACATATATGAAAAAAATCTTGAATAATATAAAATGTAATTGTATGTTAAATTATGCTGCACCAAGTAGGAATTCTAATGATTTTTAATCAGTGAATAACAACAGCATTTGGACTGAGATCATGCAGGAAGTGAGATAAAATAGGCTTTGCTGATCTCTTTCATGATATTAGCAATGGTTTCCATGGTAATTTATTCATGTCTCTTAGACTACAGGTGAGATTCATAGATTCACAAGTATTTATTGAGCTGTACTCTATACCAAACCCTGCATGAAGAAAAAGTATGAAATATAATCATTTCTTTTCTATGGAATTTTATGACTGATGAGATAAAAATACATATACTTACATAAAAGTTAAAAAAAGAAGACAATTCAAAAGTTAGTGCTAAATTTTTATAACTAAGAGGGCTAAATAAAGTCAAAGAAAGGAGAAATAAATGGAGATGACTTCATGGAGGAAATAAAATTTAATCTAGGTTTATAAATCCAAAAGCCAGTACTTGCAAATACTATAAAATAAATAATCCCCTTGTAGGTCAGACTTAAAAAAAGGAGAGTGAGAACTAAATTGTACAAGTTTGGGATTGAGAGGAACATAAACACAGAATATAGAAGAGATGAAAAGAATTATAGGATATTACTACCTTTGATAATAAGGAAACAAATTGTTATCGGTAAAGATTTCCTAGAAAAATACAAATTACAAAAAAAACACACAAAACAACCTAAGAAGGGAAATTTGAATATGCTGAGGTAATGAAAAGGTAATTGAGATTTACTTTATTAAAACTTCAATGTCCAGATGGTTTGATAGCTAAGTTCTTTCTAACCTTTAAAGGACTGATATTTTCCATATTATTTAAACACTTTTAGCCCACTCATAAAGATAGAAAGCTCCCAGTTTATAGTCTAAAGCCAGCATAATGTTAAAACAAGTAGAAAAAAGAGAATTATATGCAAATCTCATTTATACATACAGGTATTAATTTCTAAATAAAATATTATCACATAGAATTCAGTAATATACCAAACTTGTTAGAGTATGGCTGTTAGGAGTTGACACCTTTGGACTCCTAACTTCCAGAACTGCACAGTAAGTTTCTGTTGTTTGAAGCCACCCACTTTGTGGTAGTTTGTTAGCCCTAGGTACTGAATGCAATGACCAAGAAGAATTATGCCAGGAATTCAAAGGTAGATCAATAGTAGAAAATATCTGCCAACCATAGTCTATTACATAGCAACAAATTAAAGAACAAAAACCACATGATGTCATATACACTAAAAAGACATTGACTAAAAACCAGCAGCACATCTTAACTCTAAGTAAATTAGGGATATAGAGATATAAGAGGGGTGGGAGAAGGGGACCACAGAAAAGAAAGTAAAGGGATTAGATAAAGAACATGTATGCATGACTCATGGACACAGACCACACACCATGGTGATGGCCTGAGGGAAGGCGAATGGTGCCTGGAATGGTGGCAAAGGAGAAAATGGAGACATTAATAATAGTGTCAACAATAAAAATAAGAAAGAAAGCTATAATAGAGACCATAAATCAAGAACAAAATATTATCCTAAACAGTAAAACACTCAAACAATTTCATCTAAAATCATGAATTAGACAGATTTGTCAGTAATCACTATTATTTAATATTTGGTTGGGCAATATTATTATTTAATATTCTCTTGCAATATGACAAAAATACCTGATATGAACAATAGAAAAGAGATAAAGCTTTTTGTTGATAAACAATTATATATCTCAAAAAACTTAAGGATCTCAAGTAAAATGCCTACTAAAACTAATAGATAATTTGGCTTTTTTCTATATTAGCAGTAAATTCTTACATATGAAAAAAAGAAAACATTCCACTTACAAAAAGGATAAAATTATAAAATACTTGGAATACATTAAAAATAAAGGTACAGAATCTATACAAAGAAAATAGCAAGATCTCATTGAAGAGCATAAAAAAGAAATGAAGAAATGGAAAGCCATGTCATGTTTTTGGATGGAAAGGCATATTAGCATAAAAATAACAGTTCTTTCAACTGTTATCTTTCAAAATTAATATATAAACTTAATTCCAAACAGAATCAACAGGAAATTACCAGGAGGAACTAGATAAATTGAACTTCACATTGATATAAAAATTTAAATTGGGTTCCTGTTTTCTATCACATGCAATATTACAATTCAAATGGATTAAAGACTTAGATGAAAAATGTAGAAATCTTAGAAGAAACACTAAACATTATATATACAGTGTAGGCACTGGAAAACCTTGTTATTCAAGGAAGGAAATCCAGAAGCTATAAACAAAAAGATATACATGTTTGACAAATACAAGTTGAAAACTTTTTATATGGCAAAATAATTTATAAATAAAATTACAAACAATAAATTTAGAAAAGTGCTAGTATAAATTGACAAGAAAAAGACAGCCCAACAGAAGAATGAGCAAAGAATACAACTAATTCATAGTACATTGCTAAATAAATATTAAAAAATGTACACAGTATAGTCACAGAAATGCATATTAAAGCACTATTGAGAAATCACTTTATACCCATCAGAATGACAAAAATTCCAAAGAGCTATAACATATACTGCTGGTAAGGATGAAAGAGAAAGGTAGAATTATAATTTGAAAACAAATGTTTTAAAATTGAAATGTAGATAGATATCCTTTGAATCAGCAGTTTCATTATTATGGTTATATGTGTAAGTACATTTTTTGACAATATTGTTTATTTGTGCAAACACCTGGAAACAAAATTGAATTAATTCTGAGTAAATTAATTCTGAAAAATAGTTAAATAAATTTTGATATGTTCACATCATGGGATATTACTAAGCCATTATACAGAAGGACATAGACCTAAACCAGCTGACTTTTAAGGATTTGCAAAGGATTTTGTTGAGTGAACAAAAACAGGACACAGAAAAGTGTGTTTGTATAATGTGATCCATTTTTTCAAAAAAGTTAAAACCCCTAGTTATATATGACCACATACATACGTATATATGTATGTATACATACGTATATATGTATGTATACATATGTATATATGTATGTATGTATATTCACATACACATATGAATTCATAAAAATGAAAAATTACAAATTGATACATACTGTATAATTAACATGTTATCTGGTAGATGTGGTGTGAGGTGGCAAAGAGAAATAGAAGAAAGGAGAAAGGGAGAAGCAAGAAAAGACCACTAAAATCACAAGTATGTAAGTTATGATTTACTTTATTAAAAATTATATATATTTTACATAAGGATGTATCTTTTCCTAAGAAATTCAAAGAAAATCAGATGTTTTTCTACTGACTTGTAGAGATATTTATGATATATAGTCAAAAGGCGGTTAATGTATAGTGTACATTTATTTCTGTAAAAGAACATTCGACTCATCCCCTGCATATGTGTGTGAGCAAAGAAAATATTCTAGAATGCTACACTGGGTATCTCAGGAATCCAAACTAGAACTGGGGATAGAAATAAAGATAATTAGTATTTTTTTACACATCTTTATTTGTTTTATTTCTTGAAAAAACAAATAAATGAGCAAAGCTAAATGCCTACATAGTGAAGCCAGAGTGAAGCAAGCTCAGTGGGGGCTGTGAAGATGCACAATACACCTAAAAATATTTTAAAAAGTAACAGAAAACCATTTTGTGAAAGAAAAAAAAAGACACTCATGAGGGCAGGATCCAATTTAACTCTTTGTGTTTCCAGTGTTCAGAAATGAAAGTCCTAGGTGTCATGAAGATTTTAAGTAACAGATGGGAAAACCACATATACTTTACTTCTTATCTGCCTCAAGTACTCCGATCATAGGACCCATGACAAGGCCCAGAGAAGAGGCTGAAATGCTTCCAGAATACCTCTACTCTTTGGTGCTAGAATGTGGACTACTATGAGAACAATGACATACTATTACAGAAATACAGGGAGGAGAGGAGGTAGGGTAGAGGTAGAACAGGGTATCGGGGGATAAATGGTGATGGAAAAAATAAAATTAAGTAAAAAAGAAATACAGTATTATGGCTTAAGAAGGGACCATGGAGAATGCCTAATTCAACTTCCTCATTTCACAGCTGAGGAAACTGAAGCCAGGTTAAGCAATGACCATACTCATCTTTTACCTTCTCCATTCCCCAAATAGTAGAAAGATTATTTTTCTTCAGAATTTTCTTTCAGAGCAAATAAATGGTAAACAAATAACAAGCCTATTTCATTAGTTCGATGAATAAGCATTATCCCATTTGCATATAAAAACCAGCCCTTAACTGTTACATTAAACAGTTGAGATGATAGGCACAGAACCAGTTTAAGATGCCTTGTGTAAACCTGAAGAGTCACTGGTTAAAGCCACAAGGCAAGTTCTCACTCCTTTATTTACTCCTCCTATCTTTTCAACCAACATTCACTAAACATTTATTACACCCCTGATGCAGTGAGGTGCTGGGGATGCAAACATCTATTAATGTTGCAGCACCTCACTGCAACAGGAGTTCACCATTCAGTGGGGAAGTGTGAAGCTGTGAAATAAATCAGGCCAAAATACAAACCAAGTGTGGATGGAACGATTCGTTCTGACTGGAGTTTCAGGGGTGGTTTCTTCAAGGGAAATGTGACACTTGAGTCAGGCCATGCAGGATGTAGGATTTCAGAGGCAACGGCAAGAGCAAAAGCAAGGAAGTAGCATGTTTGAGGAAATGATCAGAATTGAGCCCAACCCAAGAAAAAAACAAGGTAGAAAACCAAAATTCAAATCAAGTGTTTTAGCCTGAAGATAAAAGTAAATTCAATCCATGTGCAAGATATTTTGCCACCCCATAGGAAGTTCTCAGTAAATAATGTCTGGCTAAATCCTGACCAACTAAGTAATCTCTGTGTAATTTACTGAATAATTTCAGCATATTACCATGTACCGTCCAGGGTCTAAATCTCCCATCATTCCTTTTAGGTGTGCATTTTCAGCTCTGACAGCTTTATATCTTATATCTGAGACCTGAAAGGAGATGAGTAGGTGAAAATGAATATAAAATTCATAATAAAAGCTCATAATTCTTTTCTAATTAATTTTATTTTGTTAGTATAAATATTTTCTAAGGGTAGTGAAAGGAAATACTTCTTGGGCATGATTATCATAAATTATGTATTCTCATTAGGTTCTATTTTTGGTGGGCCCCACTTTACCCTCCTTTTCTGATCAGTGCTAAGATAAAAATAGTCAACCGAAGTAATGATTCATTTACATTTTTCTTCCCAATTCCTAAGTTCCTTTTCTCAGTTCCATTTTCTAGTGTATGCAAATTACCATCAGAAAAATCACAACTTTAAAAGGACATTTGAATAACACTATCCATTAAATTTCTCTATTACCTGATTAATTTTGACAATATGCAAATAGGACTTTCATGTTTAATTTTGTTCTTTCTGATTTTTCTGCCAAGTTTCCTTTTTTTAGTGACTATTTCATTTTTGTCTTCTAATTTATTTTCCCCTGATTTCCTCTACTTGACAGTACTTAGAGAACACGATATCTACCCTTTAATTTATCTAGGGCTCATTTCTACATAAAACACTTCCCTCAAAAACATTTACTTTTGTAAATTACAAAATATATTCATTCTCCTTGACAAAAACCTAAAAACACATAAGAATATAATGGTGAAAATAAAAATTCATAATTCAACTATCCAGATCACTGTTAATGTGTAAAATAACCTTTCCTATATAGGTGTACCCAATGCTACTGTCCCATTTATGCTGTTTTCCTGGGTATTGTACTAATTAATCAGTTTAAGGCTTATAATTGGGCAAAGGCTGAATCTTTTCTGTTTTTATAATACATAGATTTAAATGGCTGTGTTATTTCTGAAGTGACTCAAGTGCCTTTAAAGTTATTGAATGGTGCTTTCAAATCCCCTAGATTTGGATTAAAAAAGCAGATAAATCCTATGTCTCGTAGCAGGCCACCAGTTTGATGGTGGATAAGGGATTGAGGGAATTTCAAAATAAATAGGATGGAAAGGAGGGAGTTAGGAAGAAGAGAAGGAGGACTCAGGATTTCCTTGCAGTATTTTATCAGTAGAATGTTATAACTGCTGTTTTTCCCGCATGAGCCATGCTGTGCATTGAGTCAATGTTTAGTAAATATGAACTAATTTTCATGTTTCAATGTCCATTCTTTAAAACCTGAAAATAAACATATAAAATGGGGGTGGGAAGTATATAGGAAAGACTGGAATAGAGGCTTTTTAGAAAGATAAAAATATTCATGGAAGGAAACTATAGAAAACAAGTTCAGGAAGAAATCTTTGACTATGGTGTGCTGTGGGAGGTGATCAAAATGTATGGGTCACAAGAAAATTTTCAGATGAGAGTTAATGAAATTATCTTGCACTGTCACTTATTTCCCTGGCCCTTCTTTGGATGACACTTTGCATGATCTGACAAAGGTTTTATGTGACTCCACAAGACATTTCTGTTATGCTAGTCTCAGAGATGATACTGAAAAATGCAATGCTTGTATTAGTCAGTACCAAAGGCTACAGTCTGCATTGAGCAAGACAGTGACCTGGGCAGGTGCGGACCTGCCTGCTTCCATACCTGATGTTTTGCTAACATTTTTTCTTTTATTTCTAACTCCATTTTTAACTGTCTCTCCAAAAGGGCAGCTCTCCTCATGATTGTTGCTATAGTGATCTCCTTCTGATGAAGCTCCTCTGTGAGGTCAGAGATTTCATTCCTCATTCTTTCCTGTGCAGAGCTGTGGTCCTCTTCCTCCTCACAGAGGTGGCTTCTTATCTGCAGCAGATATGTTCCAGAAAATATTAACAAATCCTTTTATTTATAAAGCAACTTAAAGCTTTTATTGGCCATATTCAGTCTTCTTATCCTATCTTAAAACTTAGGCAGGCCCAATCTACCCCCCTTTTGTGATTAATGCTAAATTAAAAACAGATACTTACAATAATGATTCATTTACTTTTTCCTGCTGCAAAGATTTTATTTTAAATGTTTATTTTTATTGTAAATAATAATACAGATGTCCCCAATTTCCTCCCAATTTGCTTACCTCAGGCCCCACCCTCCTCTCCCTCTGGCCCAATTAATTTACTTTGTCCCCTCCAATTTCAAATTTTCATTTCTCACTTCTATAGTATTTTCTTTTTTTTTTAAAGATTTTATTTATTTATTTTTAGAGAGGGAAGGAAGGGAGACAGAGAGAGAGAGAGAAACATCAATGTGTGGTTGCTGGGGGTCATGGCCTGCAACCTAGGCATGTACCCTGACTGGGAATCAAACCTGCGACACGTTGGTTCACAGCCCGAGCTCAATCCACTGAGCTACGCCAGCCAGGGCTTGTATTTTCTACTGTACATAAATCATCACCTACTGCTGACACTACTTTAATTACTTTGACAGAAAGGTGAAAAAAAAAACTATTGTAACAGGGTGCAGAGTGTATTCCCCACAACTCTTGATGGGGGAAGTAGATGATACATTGCATAACAGTAGCAGGTTAATAGCCACGCCTTCCTGAAGGAAAGAGGGCTGCTCCCCAGGGCAAATTGTGCATGTGACTGGAAACGTTCAGGGCCTGGTGACACAGAGGTAGGGGGAGCTCATACAGCACACATAGCACTCATATAGCACCTGCACAACACACAGGGGGCAGATGCCCACCCTGGATATCCATGTGTCATTGGGAACTTTTGCCCTGACTAAAAATGGCAGCCAAAAAAGGTAAAAGATATGGGGGAACTGGTAAAAATGGTGGACACTAACACATTATAAGAGGGATCAGATATGAGGTCAATAGAAAGTTCCAGGCTGAGCATTTAAATGAGGGTGGGCTGAAAGAGGAAAAAACCAAAACCAAAACCCAGGAAGTCTGGAGTAAGAGAGAGAAACCACGTGTTCTGGAATGAGAGAGAAGAGATCTAAAAGCTGGAAATCCAGTGAGTTACCAGAGCTGGCAGCGAGATGGGGGACCTGCCCACCCACCCAGATTCGAGTCTGCCTGGAGAAGGCAGCAGCAGGGCTGATGGAGCTGCCGGGGCCCTGCCTAGCCACCACGATTCATGAGAGATGCTTGGAGATGAACTGTGACTGATCTGCAGACTTCTGCTTTTCTGAAAGATGGTATCTCTGACTGGCATATCCTGAAACTGGCCTGGTTTAGCAAAGTGAGACAGGACTTTGTGTTTTGGGGTGTTTTTAAAGGGAGGAGGGCTTAACAGCAGAAATCTGCCATTACTCTAAATCTTAAAACCTTTATACACAACCCTTGTCCTTTTTCACCAAACTCTTGCATCAGGAGTCACGCTTCTTGGCAGCGGGCCATTGAACCCCACAGCTGTTCAAGAACAGCAATGGCGGGGTCTGTAACAGTAACATCAAAGATTTTCCTCCAGCTTTATGGACGTATGTGTATAATTGGTATACAAAAAAACTGCACATAATTCATGTACACAGTTTTGTGAGTTTAGACCTACACCTGTGCTACTATCACCACAATCAAGATGATAATCATATCCATTACCTCCAAAAGCTTCCTTGTATCCCTTTGCTATTTAATGTATGTGTGTGTGTGTTTGTGGTTAGAACATTTAACATGAGATCTACCCTCTTAAATTTTTAAGTGTACATCCCCTTTCTGTTAATTATAGGCACTGCATTGTGCAGAAGATTCTGGAACTTACTCATGTTGCTTAACTTGATTCTATATCCATTGAATAAGCACCCTAGAGTGGTGTGGTAGAAGAACACTGAACCCACAACCCAGAGCAAGACTTTTTTAGGAGAGGGTAAGTGACTTACTCAGGTTCATAAAGCTACTAACTGTCAGAGCTAGGACTAGATCCTAGGACTCTCAGCTTTAAATTCAGTGCTTTTTTTTCTTTGACTAAATTGTGCTGTACTTTTTGTGCCTAAATGCTATGTTTTTCAGAATCATGTTATAATAAATTTCAAGCTTAATGTGTCCATGAAAACGTATAACCTCCTCTCCGTAGCCTGTGGAGTCTCATCTTCCTAACCTTCGCCCAGCCTTCCGTGTTAGGGACCTCTGGAGCAGCTCGGACCCCTCCCAGCCCTCATCCTCCCAAATCCAGTTAAGCAGCCAATTCTGTCTCTTCTGTTTCAATCTCCCTTAAATCTTACTCCTACTCTCTATTCCTACCACCACTATCTTAGTCCAGCCTCTTAACATCTTTTTAAGAATCATTTACTGTCCCTAATTTTTGAGGTTTGGAGGTAAAGTACACAATCACTGATCTAAAAAGAAAATCATAGTTCATTGGGGGAAACAGAAAATTAACAGTTATATGACAGTGTAGCAATCAGTGTCAGCATTATGCAGTGGAGGAGGTACCAAACCCAGCCTGAGGATTCAGGATAGGATTCCCAGAGGAGAGGACATCAGACCAAATATTGAGGAATAAATGGAAGCTGCATGGAAAATAGAGGGGAGAAGGGCTCCTAGGCAAATAATGCAGCCGAGGCACAGGGGTGAATGCACACTCAGTGAACCGAAGGGAGTATGGAGTGGCTGGGACTTAGCATGTTGTGAGAAATAGGGCTGGAGAGTTACTTAGGCGCCATCCACAAGAGACGTGTATGAATGTACCCAGGGCACTTACTTTGAAAATAGATTTGTTTTTCAGGATATATGTCTGAAAGAATAAGGGTATCTGCTTTCTTTCTTTTTTGAACATAGCCAGAATATTATATCATTATAGTGTCTTCAAAGTATTAACACCAATTCCTCACTGTCATCAAATATCCAGGAAGTATTCATATTTAAAATTGTATCAGAATGAAATTTTTAAAGTTTATTTGAATGGAGATCTAAATATGAGCCACGCATTGTGACTAGGTTGTATCTTTTTAAAGTCTCTCTTTTTGTATGTGATTGTGTGTGTTGTAAGTACTCTACATGTATCATCTCATTTAACCCCCATACATCGCTCCATTTTGCAGATGAGAAATTTGAGGTCACATAACTGCTCATAGTCACATTCCTGGTGACAGGCAGTCTGATTCCAGGACCTTACACATTGTGCTGTATAACCTCTGTGAGCAGAGCCCTAGAAGGTGAGTCACATGTTGGGATCACCTGACATGGAAATTATGCACATCCAGCAGGCAAACTCGATCCATCCCCAGGCGTTATACTACCTCATCTGATTATATTCTTATTACTAACACTTTCATAATTGCAGAGTTGGACATGACCTTACAAATCACATGGTCTAACCCCATCATTTAACAGAAAAAATAAAGACTCAGAGCAGAGAACTGACTGAGTTTAAGCTATCCATCTCCTACTAGCAAAAGAGGAGACTAGGAAAGTGAAGTACAACATCCTCACCCCGAGGACAATATTTTAAGTCCCTTTTCACTTCCAATCTTCTTCCAGTTTTTTTCTTATAATTTGATGAAACTACTGGGTTGTTCTCTAGCTGGTGCCAGTTTGAGTTTTGCTGTTTGCATCCCTGAGGTACAGTTTACATGTTTTTTGAAAGTGGAACTTATCTAATGCTAGAAAATGAATATGCTGTTGTGAAAATGGAGTAAACTCTTTTTGTTATTTTCACAACATTTACTTATTAAATTGGCATGCTATACACTGCAAAACTTCCTTCTAAATGAGATTAATTTGCCTAGCTGCAAATGACTTTTGGCTTTATTAAAAATGTCAATTTATAACAAACAAATGACTAAAAATAGTTCGATGTTGAAAAAATAAGATATATAATACATGGCTCTTGTTGCTTTTATTACAAGAGAATGAAAATGCTCTCCACAAATGCATCCTGGAAGCTATCACTGTTAGTGCACAATTCATTTGTTACCTTTTCCTGCACAGCAATACATTATCTAGAGGTCTCCAAGAGCCTATAAAGAGATTTGTGCCTTGTATTCTCTCCTTTCATGTCAAAACTGTGCAGAATCAGTATATTCCTGGTATTACTCAAAGGTTTATTATTCTTTGTAAGTCTCTGAGATTAAGAACAGTATAACTATACTTTAGGTGGCTTTAGTCAACATTTTATCATAATATATATATATATTCACTAGGGACACCAGTAAAGAACAGTGTTTTAAAGTTATATTTTTAACTATCAGTAAAATCAGTTTTATGGGATTATGTGAAAAATATAAGAAAAACAGTCATTAATTTACATCACCTCTTCTACACTTAATAGTTGCCTGACAGTGAACTCTGGGAGTCAGGATTTATCTTTCACATAATCATATTTCCTGCAGAAATAAGCAGAATAGCCAATAGTTCTACTAGATCCTCAATAAATGTTTGTTGAATTTCTACAAACAATAACTGAAGTTATGATCCTATATAATTATGGGGGACTTTGGCCTTAATATGAATTAATTCTCTAAATATTTACTTTCACTTATCATATGTCAAGCATTGTGCCAGGCACTAGATGGTAATTCAAAGTCATACCCTCCCATAGATTTTTCCTGCTTTTAACAGTTGTTCAGATTATATAGCACTGTATATTCTGTGAGATCATCAAACCTGAAGGACCAGAGAAGGGCATAGTAGACTGACAAACTCATGGAAAATAATACTGGATTTCCTAAAAAGAGAAGAGAATATACTTTTTGTTGGAGTTGAGAACCACAGTGACCAGGTCTTATTCTTCCTTGTATTTCTAGCTCCTGGAAGAGCACTTGGCACATGTTAGGTGCTCAGTGACAAAATGTGGATGTGACCAACAACAATAGCAGTCAATGTTGTAGGAGCTCCCTCTGAGCTGGGGAGGCCCTATTCTAAGCACTTCACATGCACTATTTTATGGATTTTAACTTATGGGAAGAGTATGACCTTTGGAGCCAGATTGCTTAGATTCAAATACAGCTTCTGCCAGATTAAATTTATAATACTGGAAAAAATTACCTAAATTTTCCATGCCTTAATTTCCTCAAATAATTAAAAGAGGATGATATTAGTACCTACCTTATGAGATGGTTGTGAGGAATAAATAAATTAGGATTTGTTAAGCCTTTAGAACAGCTCCTTGGCACATGGTAAGTGCTATTTGAGTAGCAGCTATTTACTTCTCATTAAACCCTCATCACAACTTTGTGAGGCAGATACTAATTATCACAGCCCCATCCTGGAAACAGGGACCCTGAGCAACTTGTATACACAACTTCCCCAAGCTTGTGCACCTAACATATGGTCGAGCCCAAGTCTGTGCTCTCATGTTTCTTACTCTAAGCTACCTTTCATGGAGCCACGGCCCTCCACCTTTCACACACTCTCCTCATAACAGAGCAATATCCTAAAGCTTGTGGTTTTTATAGCATCACGCAGAAGAATGTCAATTTTAGCAGCTTGGAGAAAATATAGAAGGAAAAAGAAGTGAGTGAGAAGAAAGATACTTTCCCCCTTTGTATTTAAAGACTTCAGATCTGCCTGGAAGAATGGAGCCTGTTATTTTCCATACCTTATTCAATTCTTTTTCATGATTTGGTTGATCTGGGGTCACTGAAAACAGCTCTTGCTTTTTCCTTTCTGGTTCTTTAACACAAGGCGAATAAGATGATTCAAATCTACAAATTCGAATGAGTAAAAATCAAGCTTAATTTGATAAATTGTTAGGATTATATTGTTAATTTGGACCATTGTAGAGAACAGAGATAGATTATTAGCGTGTTGGAAACATTTCTAGGTACAGAAATTGCAAGTTATAATACATTCGGATCCCTTAACTAATTACCTATTTAACTGAGTGCAAATGGCTTTAGAAAAAAAAAAACCCAGGTAGTAATTAATATGGAATTTTTATTATACATTAAAAATTGGCAGAATACTGGGTTTGCATATGAAGATAAGATTTTTTTAAAGAAGAGGAGACTGTCTCCTATAATAAAATAACTTGGGAACCCATTCGAAAAAGGAAACAGACCTGAGTTGCATCCACATCATGGAAAGAAACTACATCAGGAGAAGTCTGAGGAAGGAGAAACCACTCCATAAAAGTGTCCCAAACACAAGTGATTCTGAGAGTCTACCTGAGAGAGCTCAACTATACCTATTCTTTGACTGTTCAATTTATAAAATGGAATGGCAACCACATATAGATACTAAAGGGGAAAAACAGAGAATTAATATAAAAAGCATAGTTTCCATAGGAAGTGTGGAGAAGTATAAGCAGGTACTGTTTACACCAGGGAAGTTGGTAAAATAAAAATTAAAACAGAAGAAATAAGATAACTAGGCAAGGAAAGCAGCATGCTTCCTATTGCCTGACTAATAGGTAGAGTCCAGAGTTTTGATGAAGGTGCCCACTTGTAACTAAGTACAATTTTAGATTTCTGAAGAACTTTTTAAAAGGTTCCTTAAATCAAAATCTTAAATTATATAGACAAACAACCCCCCCATCTGAATAACAATAGAAAAATAACTAATGAAGAGATTAAAAATAAGGGGATCTTTTAAAAGGTGTACATTAATAGTGATATTAATATTAGTATTTGTTAACAAATATATTTGTTGTCAAATATATGTTAAGTGTAGAAAACAGAGTATATAAGAATATATACTCCTATAATGTCCTCCAAGGAAAATATTGTCAGCATTTTTGTGTATATTGTCTTTTTTCCCTATGCGTGTTTATAAATGCATACACATTTCTCATACAATTAGAATGTACTTACATACTATTTTTCAGTCTTTTTTTGTTTTCCACTCAGTAACACATTGTGAACATTTTACCCATTATTCTCCTAAAACATTTCAAGACCAACCTTGAAATGTTCTTATTTGCTATGATTTGGAAGAGGTGAAAATGAAATTTCCTGTTTTTAATTTTTCCTAAGCAACTTCAGGGAATGGAATGCTGAACTAAATGGTTAAGAACCTCAAGATGATCTTGTAAATTTAAGTTAGCGAACAGAAGGAATATTAAACTTCAATGTGGACAAGTTCATAGAAGAGAACAATAGTCATGCTAATGTAAGAGGGTAATATAAAATATCAGGAAACTATCATTTGTCATGTAGGAAAGGAGTGTTGGAATTATTTTTAATAACTCAGAACATATCATTCCAAGGAGCTGCTATAACTGGAAAAAAAAAAAAAAAAGCCTAGCATTATTGAGAAAAGTTCTGATAATGAATAAAAGCATTACAATGCTACTTCTATAAAACTATTGTATGTCAACATCCAGTAGTCTGGGTTGCTTCACCTTAACACAATTAGAAAGAGGACACAAAATCCAAACAAAAGAAACCAAAACAATATAAAGGGCAGAACCACATTCACATAAAAACAAATTAGGATTAGAAACTTGCAATGGGAAAGAGGAAGGTTGAGAAGACTATGCCCAGCATCTAAAATACAATGGAAGCTGTGAAAAGTAAAATACCTGCTCAACAAATCTCAGAATACTAGAACTAAGTAATACCCTTCAATTGAGAAAGATGTAGTCTGGAGACCAAAATAAACACCAACTTAAATAGAGGATGGCAACTAGGCATAACAAAAGAGTTGCATTGGCTGGATATGTGAATAATTATAAGACTTTAAGTTAAATCATGTATCAAAGGACAATTGGTAATGTTTGGAATTCAGCATTAGCCTTGTGAAATAGCTCCACAGAAAGCACCTACAACACTCTTCACAAAAATACAAAGAGATGTAGTTGAATGGTTGGCTCTTCTAGGAAATTTATGCTTTTAGGCATATACATTCTTTCTGTGAGGACATTTCTCAGCAACTCTCTACGCTGGAACAGTGCCTTGCACATAATATATTTCCAATAGGTTTATTAATGATTGGTGATGATGGTATATAGCTTGTATCCAGAGCTTTCATTAATGCTGACTGTCTCCTAGGCATTCTACCACCCTTGGTGAGACATACAATAGGTCATTTTTTCCAAAAAAATTCTTTTGTAATTGAGGCTTAATAATTTTTAAGAAACTTAATTTGCCACTTTTTGTAAAGGGTAAACCTCAAGGAAATGCTAGCAAATGCCACAACTTTGAAGAAATAATTATTACCTTTAAAACAATGTAATTGTCTTTCAATAAAATATCCCTCACAATTTGGCTATTCAATTTTAGAAACCCTGTCATTGGTCTGTCACTGGCCTTCAGATTTGAGAAGGATTCAAATTCTAATGAGAACTAGAAAACATCAGTGAATGGTTGGAATAGTCACACCATTCATTCACAAGCATAAACATTTAATAATGTTTATGTGGTTATGGAATATGTAATACCTATCTAATTTTAAAAGAGGAAAAAATATGTTCTAATGAAACCCTTAATGGAAACGACAAGGTGGTAAGTGGGGAGATCAAAATGAGTACAACATTTATAGGTGAAAAAGTTAACAGGTTTACAAGCAATCAAAATAAAAGCATTTAAAAAATATGGAATACATCTTATTTAATTAAATATCAGCTCTATAATATTATTTTAGCAATATCCTAAAGAATAAAAGTTCTAAGAAAAGTTCTGACTCAGTATAACACAGAAGTGTCCATAGATCAGAACAAGATATAATTTTCTAGGTAAGTGAAGGTATTAATTTTTCAAATGAAATAATCATAAATTTCATTTTAATATCTAATATCTAACAACAGCATATAAATATAAAACAAAAAGACTTTTAATTTTAGTTTCAAATATAAAACACTCAAAAGTCATGTTTTGAGCAGTTTCTCTCAAGCTGCTGAATATAAAGAATATACCTTTTTTTATTTTCTTGAGCATTTTGGTATTCTCCTATTTTTAATAATTCTCTGTGCAACTGCAATCGTTCCATTTCTATAATTCTCAAGAGATCATCACGTGACTGTAACTCACTTTTCACCTCTGAGAGTCCTGCTTCCATGGCCTAAATAAAAAAAAATTTCAGTGCTCATATTTGGGTATCATGATGTATAATAATACATTTAAAAATGTTTAACATCTATGAACCAGCCTAATTCAAATGAACCAATAGCCCTTTGCTGGCTCTGTCTTATAGAATTTCATTTCTTCATTAATTTATTCAACAAATATTTACTAAGCTCTTATTATATACTCAACACCAAGGACAGACATAGAATCTGTCCTCAATGAGCTGACAGTCTAGTGATAACAACAAAGAGTAATCAAATAATCATACAAAGATGGCCACATCATATGCAATTTTGAAGGAGGGAAATATCAAAGTATGACTAAAATATCAATGCATAAAATTTGGATTAATGCAAATAATTCCCAAATTAAACCTGATAATAGCCAAGAAAAATCTAATTTTAAAGCTGGCCAACAATGTAAATGATAAATCATGGTTCCACTATTGTCCGATAGCAGCCCAGCACTTCAGCTGATAACTAGGAACACCGGCAATCCTGTGAGTTTAGTGTTTTACTTTGTTAGTAGGAGAGACTTGGGCAAGTTTAATAGCTGTTAGGAGAGAGAAAGGGTAACATTGATGGTGTCAGGATCCTGAGAAGGTGGACGAGTGGGTCCCAAAGCACATGCTTTGGGAAGCATCGCCTAAAGCAAAAGGGAGGCCCTCCTCTTTTGCAACAGGAAAGAAGGGAGAAAGATGGAACCTAGCCAAGTTCATGCTTGTGGACATGGGTGATAAGACAGTGGCTACCAGCTGGTTTCTAGTTTCCTTGTGAACAAAAAGGCAGTGTCAGGTGTTGATGGTGGAAGGGAGGTGGAGGTGGGGTTTGGGAGTCATTTTGGAGTGAAAAGGGTTTGAAATGACCTGCACTGGGAATGGGAGAGTTAGCTGATTGGAGCAGCAAGGGATTCCTGGAAGAGATGAGCTGTCACTCGAGGTTTGTGACCATGATCTATTGAGTGATTTCCTCCAGCAGTACTTGACTGTTTTCTGGAAGAAAGGAAGGGCAGAGTCCTTCCATCTCACCAGGTCTCTGACACTCAATTACACAGGGAAACTAGCATTTAGTAAGTGTACCCCACCCTGTTCATTAAATCCAAAGCCATTTTTATAGATGAGGAAGTTGAGGGCCAGACTTGGTCTAAAGTTACAAGCTCAAAAGTGGCAGACTTTGGAATAGAAATCTAGGTCTTTTGCCTAGTAGTCCAGCTGGAACATTCAAGATGCAAAGGAACTTGTTTCATGCTAAGTAAGTGCAGTAGACCTGTAATTGGGAAAGACAGAGTGGGGTGCTCAGAGGGCAGGAGGTTTCTCTACTAATGAAGGCTTTAGAAAACCTTATAGATATTTTTAAAAGTCATTTGTTCAAGAATCTTAATATATATTCAATAACAGATTTATTCAAATATAATCTATGTATTTAAAATTAATCAATTTAAAGCATACAAATCAGTGAATTTTAGTATATTCACAAATTTGTGATTTATCACTACTATCTAATTCCACCACATTTTTATCATTCTCCAAATAAACCTAATACCCATTAGCAGTCACTCCACATTTTCCCTCCTCTGAGCCCCTGGCAACCACTAAGGTATGTTTTATCTCTGTGGTGCATATTCTGGACATTTCATTCAAATTAAGTCATACACTATGTGGCCCTTTACGACTTCTTTCACTAAGTATAATGTTTTCAAGTTTTATTTATATTGTAGCATGCACCAGTACTTCATTTCTTTTTATTTATTTATTTATTTATTTATAATTTTTTAATCCTCACCTGAAGACATGTTTATCAATTTTTAGAGAAAGAGAAGTGAGGGTAGGCTGGGAGAGAGAGAGAGAGAGAGAGAGAGAGAGAGAGAGAGAGAGAGAGAGAGACATCAATCAGTTGCCTCCGATATGTATCCTGACCAGGGATCAAGCCTGCAACCTAGGTATGCATCCTGACCAAGAGTTGAACCTGCAGACTTTTGGTGCACAGGACAATGCTCCAACCAACTGTGCCATGCGACCAGGGCCATTTCCTTTTATTGATAAATAATATTGATTTGTATGGATATACTAAATTTTTGCATTTATTAACCAGTTAATGGACATTTGGATGTATCTTGTTTTTAACTATTATGAAATAATACTGCTTTGAAAATACATATACAAGCTTATATATGTGGATATATGTTTCCTTATTCATTAATTCTTTCCCCAAATTCATGAAGCTTCAAAATTTAATGATGTAGACAATACAGAACATATGATTTCCCAGATAAACTTTTTTTTATGAAAGCCTTAAAATATACATTATTTTCCAGGAGACTTAGAGACCTGGGCTCATTGAAGGATCTAGTTGCAATATTTTAGCCCCAGAAGTTCCTGGCTGACTTGGAGATAACTCTAAGAGTATTTTCAAATAGGTGATTTAATAGATAAACATTCGTTTGGGTAAAGTGCCTGTTTTAAAGAGTGGGATTTTTTAGATGAGGTTAAAATTTCAAAATAAACAAAAGAAATATGAAACAATAGATTAGCAAGTACTAACACAAATTAATTTGATGTGAATGTCATCTGTTATTTTGGCCAATTAAAGAAGGCAGTATCAGGGTTCCTTGTTTGCAAATTCACCACCAGGGAGCCATCTACTGTGAAGCCACATGTAGAAGAGTGGTCCTGCCTTCACTCAGGGGAGTGGGGCTGAACAGACTCGAACTCCAGGCCAAAGAAATGTAGTGTCACTGTGGGCTAGTGCAAACTGAAACTCTGTAAACTGTAGTGATAATGGGGTCTTTTTGTTTACTGTTAGTGAAAATAATACCTATAAGAGTGACACCCCCATCATTAAGGGAAAAAAAACTTATTTGTGATCTAGTTATACAAGTAGGAGGATTTATCTTGAAATTGAAAATCTTCATAATACAAATCAATAGTAATGATTTGATACATTTTCTAACATGACTAGATATGCAAAGTTTTAATTATGACAGCAGTATATAAATAGAATATAAAAGAGGCTGTGTTGATATCAATAAAGTGAAAGTTGTTAATAATATTGAGTTGATCTAAAAATTGGCAAATTTAAGTTAGATGTAGTTTTAAAACTGGCATGCTTTTGCACAAAAGTTAAATCAATTATTTTCAATGTGGATGCAAATATTCAGGAAAATGATTCTTCAGTATGTATTTTAGCTACTGGGACACTTTCAGATTTATTTGAAACAACTTGGGTATGTAAATCTACTTTTTTCACTGTAAATTATATGAACTCTAAGCACAGATGAAGTGTTTCTGATGAATAGTTAGCATTTAAATTGAGATCTGTTTTAAGTGTAAAATACACACCAGATTTTGAAGATTTAGTATGAAATGTAAAATATCTGAATAATTTTTAAATGAACATGTTGAAATGATAATACTTTAGTTAGATGTTGTGTTGAACAAAATATATTACTACTATATATTGATTTCACCCATTTTTATTAATTTTTAACGTGGCCAATAGAAAAATTTAAATTATATTTGTGGTCTGCATTATATCTCTACTGCAGAGTGTTGCTTTAGTATTTAATGACATGTTGACAAACAAACAAAAAAAGGTCAAGATTTTTTTGAGCATAGATATTTGAAAAAATTCAGAGCAATTTATTTGTCATTAATCTCCAATGGGAAACACCACATATTTTATACATGTGAGTGTAGTGCAGCATAGTCATTAAATACATGCAACGAAATTTATGTGTATATTGACACATTTCAAAGTTATAAAAGGACGGGTGAGAAGATGTGACTCATGAAAATTCAGATGCATATGTCATTAAAGTGTGTTGTAAACTAAAGAGAATTTTATATACAATAACTGACAGTAATTTAGATGGAAATGGTTGCCCTTTTAAATTCATGTGCAACACTGTCACATGACAGTTTTGCAAAAAGAAAAGAGAAACTTCTTTCTAAATATACACACTGTTTATAGTGATTTTTACCTCTAATTATTCCCATTGTGTAAAATATAAATTTTATAAAACAAGTTTAGGAACCATCTGTTTAGTTACAAATTTGCCTAATGGTTTGAGAGAAGCTGTGATTTTAAACCGTCAAATCATCTACCAAATAGTAAATAGTTGATATCTTATCACTTAATATTTATTCTAAAGCAAAAGGATGAAGCACAAGTACAATTTGGAAATGAAACAGAGATGTCTAAATGAAAGCAGTATTTTTAGCATTTCTTCTAAATGCATCAAAAATAGTGCTTTTCTGGGAATTGAGACCTTATATTGAATTTTTTGAACCAAATTACTTCTCAAAAATCTTTTCATTAGAATTAAATCATGTGTGTGTGTGTGACATACTCCAGAATAATTTAATTTATTTTTTAACACATGCAGTTCTTCTGTAAAATATAAAATGAAAATTCTTAGTTTAATGTTCATAATGTTCCTAGATCCCAGGTTAACTAAATTCTTTTTGAAATGAACAAATATTTGTAAAAGGAACTTTGGTAACTTTCCCTTAGAAATTGGAGGACAATAGATCAGTAACAGTTACATTTATCTCTAAGTTTATCACTAACTATGGAAAACATCAAAAAGTAAAGTTAGAAAATTACTGGTGAAGAACATGAGAAAAGGAACATTTAAATATTTAAAGCAGAGTTTCTCAACCTAGCAGTATGTACATTTCAGTCTGGATCATTCTTTGCTAAGGGTTGTCTTGTGCATTGTAGGATGTGACACCCGGCCTCTACCCACTAGATGACATTCATACCACTTTCCCTTGTAGTAATAACCAAAAATTATCCAGGTGTTGCCAAATGAAACCTGGGAGCAAAATCACCCCAGCAGAGAACCACTGATTTAAAAGAAAATTATAGCAATTAGACAAGTAGTAGTTATTTTATAACCTTTAGTATAAATATCAATAAATATATACTTCATAATTATATTGACTTCTATAAATAGCTGGGTTTTTATTTTGTTAGAATATATTCAGGGGCATTTAATAAATTATTAAATTAATTAATATACATATGTATACATAAGGAAAAGTCAAAGTATGTAACATGGACTTTCCTCAGCCCAGACAACCCACAGAGCCTTCTCAGGTGTATGTGTAAGGCTCTGGAAGTTTGCATAAATCTTGGGTTGAGGGGTGAGTTATGTTTTTTGATCCTGGGTGAGGAGGGTAAGTCACCTACTTGGAGGATATTGCTAAAGGACAGGGTGGCCTTGGCCACACGGAGGTTTGAGTTCTGTAACTTCCTGCTACCTGTTAAGACTTTCAGGTTGCACTTTCTCTCTTCTTGGCAATAAAGGGATGTCAATGTGATAAGTGTGAGCAGCACAGGTTTAAGATATTTACTTGGAGACAGGGTAGAATTTATAATCTGAAGTGGGAATGTTAATTTATTAATGTTTCCAATGTACACTCTTCCTGTTTGTAACATTCTTTCTTTTAAAAAATTCTCCAAATTACTTCCTGGAGAAATAGAAATGATCCTGTTCTGAGAGTAAAAGTCAGTCATGCTTTCCAAAAAGGGCAACAGAGGCTCTTTCTAGAATATGGGGTAAGAGCAGAGATTTCTATTCTACATGTCAGCCAAGGCCCAAGAGCTGAAGCTCAGGCTATAGAAGAGAATATTCTTGGATGTTGTAACAGGTCCAAATGGAATTCTTTTAGGGGTGTTTAAGAGGAACTAAGTTATTGAAGAAGCTGAACCTCACTGAAGGGTAGAACCAGACTTATGAAATATGTTTCAGGCAAACTAAAGATTTCTAGGGGCCAGAGCCCAAAAATCTTTAAGAAGAGACACAGAGAACTCTTCTGTGTGTGCAGGATAACCTGAAACCTGGAGGAGAATATTCAGAAAGTACCCAGAAAAGTAATCTCTTTATTTATTGACTCTGATCCCACTGCAGGCTCCAGCAATACAAAGACAGCTGCATAATGAAAATTTAAGTTGTCTTTAAATCAGGGCCAGAGGCACGGCCGGCTGCCCCAGACCCAGGGAGAGGAATGGGAAGCAGCCTCTGAGCAGAAGAGAATCCTGTCAGGACACCAGCAATCATGAAAACCCGGCTTCCACAGGACTGGGTAGGCTGACTGGTGAGCTGAACAGTAGAAGCCACCTAGACAACTTGGAGAGCAGGAGTAAGAGCTAATCTCATTTGCGAGATTATCATAGAGAAGCCAGGGAAACATCATCAATACCTTTTCTATGTCTAGAAAATTTATGGCTTCCTCAGTGTTTAATATTTGTGGTTTAGTTTTGTTTGTTTACATCTAATTTGTATTAGAATAAAAGCCTTTCCCCAACAGAGCTGGAATTTGGGATGGGGGAGATGTACTTCTCTTAGAAATATCATGGAATAGTCTCAAGAGGCTGGGAACCTTGTGATCTGCCCCCTTGCAAACTTGGGGAAGGGGAATACAGAAGAGTAGATGGCGGTGGGGAGAGAATTTAAAAGGACAAATCCCCTTCTGTAATCCATGTCATGTAGCAGGATGGGGGGATGAGGAGTTGGCCCAAGACTAACGAAGGACCCTGGGAGTTTAAGTGGCAGAAGATCCTGTGGTGGAATATCTTAGAGAAGTGAGTGAAATTCTGCTCAGACAGTGAATGAAATGGGCCAATGGAGGAAAGAAGCTAAATGTTTGTAGGTGGGAGATGAGACCTAGAATGGGAAATAAAACCATAGAATGTCACGAGCAACTGGGATATCCATGAATAAGAAATACATATTTAGTAAAGAAATTATAATGAGCAATTTTGATGAATGCTATGTATCTTTAGAGGTTGCAAGTAGTAGAAAGAAAAGAGATGACATTTTCAAGTTAATAAATTAGTGCTTGGAACAACTATCAATCCCATCTACTAATGTGAAAGTTAACAAAACACTAGCAAAGCAACAAACAAAAACTCAAAGCTACTGTTTGGTAAGTGATTATGGTAAGGCTAACAGTGCCAAATCACAGGGAGTGCCCCTCACACTTCTCACTGAGGCCATTAGAGTGTTGAACCCTTAGTAATTTCATGGATCTCCAACCCAGGATTCCTGCAAGTCAAAGAGGCACAGGGTCAGAGAATGAACAGTAAGGACAGAGCGGAGTGTGTGGTTAAAGGGCCATGGTTTTTAGGTCTAAGGTCCTAAGTGACCTCTGTGATACTCCATGGGGAATACATTATTATCATGCCACTGTAGAGCCGCAGTGCACTTGAGTGGGTGAAGTACCTATGGGTTTAATATATGTACTCATCAAGTGAGAATTAGTCATTAAGAGGAAATATGAGCTGAATTTACACATGTAATATGAAATTAGCTTTCAAATCCATATAACTGTTATCATTTATACAAATTATGGGCAATATCAGTTGAAAAATAAATGTATATTTACCTGGCACTGTCTTTGGTACATTTTCAGTTCCTGTAAGAGCTTCTGATTTTCATCTTGTAACTTATTCCGGCTTAATGCCATTTCACTCACAGCTGATTTTAGTTTTTCAATAATGAACTCATCTCTCTCACTGGTTTCACAACTAGGATCTAATTCACATATCAGCTGAGGAATGGCAGAGCTGCTGTCTTCTTCCATGCACTGTTTTCTACCAATTAGCTGAGTTTGGTAATTCTGTGCCTGTTTCTGAGAAATATGAAAATTGTGTCAATTAAATGGAGAATATAATGTTTAAGCTTACATAAAGTTCAAGAATAATGGAAAACAATTAGAAAAACACCTTTAAATACATTATTAGGTAATGAAGCATTACCCTTTATTATTCAGCCTTGTGTTTATTCTAAAACCTTAATTTCTGATGGCATAAAAAGAAAGTATATTTGCATAACCTGAGAGCAAAGATGTAGAGTAGGGCAAAGCTCTTGGGGTAGGGAATTCTTATCCACAAGAAAGAAAATCTTGAATATATAAAAAAAGTAAAACTATAGATTTGATTACACAATAGTTGAAAATGCCTCCATAACCAAAAATAAACAAAATGACACAAAGCAATTGGATTGTAGAAAAAAGTTGTCAACACATAGAACAAGGGTTAATAATTCCTCTGTACAGAAACTACTACACATCCATATGAAAAAGATAAACAACAAGAAAGAAAAATGGGCAAAGTTATGAATAGGCAATTCACAGAAGAGGAAATGAAAAAGGCCAGGGAGAATACAGAAAGATGCTCAGTCTTATAAGCAGTAAGAATACAAAGCAAATCAAGCCAATATTACCATTAATCCATCAGTTGGTAGAAAAGACTGGTGATATTCCGTGCTGGGGAAGGTATGGGTAATTCCCACCACCCACTCATGAATTGTAAATTACTGTAACCTTTGAAGTAGTAATCTGCTGGTATATATTAAAACTTTGAATGGACATATCCTATGGCTCAAAATTCATTCTTATTTCTAGAGTTTTTATCTAACAATAAAAAGTACTGGTATTTAAATGTGCACATACAATGATATTTGTTATAATGTTGCAATAGCATAAAAATAGAAACAACCTGAATATACATCAACAAGGAAATGATTAAAAGAATTACAGTATATATACTACATACTATAGTACATCTGGTGTATCTACTATATACTATGAAATACTATGCAGAATTAAGTAGAATTTTATGTAGTACCTCAAAAAGATATCCATGGCTTATTATTAAGTAAAAACTTTTTTAAGAGAAAAAGTATGCAACTTCCACACAAATACATATTTTTGCATGTTTGTACAAATAAAAGAAAAGGTAGTAAAGAAAAACACCTGACTGTTAACAGTGTTTATATTAAATGGGTAAAAATGGAGTAAAGGGATAAGGCTATTAATTTTACATTAAATTATTTTATGTTGTTGAATTTAAGGAACAAGTATGACATATAACTCAAGTGACTTAAAGAGAGAATAAAAAGTGTATCAACCAAACAATAGTTTCTTAATGGCTTTAATAAAAATTCAAAATTCTTTAGCCCAAGTGTTAAAAGCTTATTATAATTTATATCCAATTCCCTAGGCTTACCACCTCCCCTTTCCCACCTGCTGCATGGACTACCAGCTAACTGACCCATTTTCCATTTCCAGAATTTGCCTTTTGCTCTCTTGCTCAGTGACTCTGCTGGTGTTCTTTCTACCACCTAGAACATACTTTCTCTTGTCTCACAACATATCCATTCTTCAATGTCAGGCCCTGTCCCACCCCTGCTGGAGGATGTTTCCTGGTTGAGCACATTTTTTTCTTACTCTTTGACTTCTAAAAGGATTTGGATCCCTTCCATTCACTTGTCATTATTACCTGTAAATCAGGACATGTATTATCTCAATGTCTAGGCTGTATAGGTCTTGAAGGCAGGGACCAAGCAACCCTCGACTTTCTAAGTGACTTGCCCACAGGAATGCAAAAACATGTACTACTAACAATGCACACTTTCAATAACACCATCATCCTTTGACACATGTAGGCTAAACTCACCATTATAGGTACCTCATGCGCTTATGACTTTAAAACCAAAGCTGGACCTACTCTGGTTATTTTCTATTAGTTGGCATTTCTATTTGTAAAAAGATTATATGCTGAATGGCAAAGATAATAATATTTAACCTCTAATTTATTCTAATTTTGAGGGTAGAATTAGATAATGTACCTGAAATTGATTACACTTCTCAGACAATACTTTTTGTTGAGCATCTAAAGAAACCAGATGAGTCTGATATAGTATCTCTTGCTTGTCCCATTCTCTGGACTTTGCTCTAAATTCCTTTAAAAAAAGTGGAAGGACAAAAATAAATTGGAGAAAATTATTCATTTTAAAGTACAATGAACAGGGCTTCTCTTATTTGTAAATCTTTATTCTGAGAAAAAATTAAGTGCATTTTTCCCCATTAGGAAAATAAAAAAGTATCAAATCTCTCATCTTGGGTTTATTGCTAGATATATCTTAATTTTTATTAGGAAAATATGGAATTTGTAGCCTAATCCTTGTATAAAAATTAAGCCTTTTTATTTGTTAAAAATGAAAAAAAAATCTCTTACAACAAATGCTGATTACTAATAAGGAAGTTCCAAATAACTTTCTGCATCCAGTACTTCCTTTCTGTTTCCTGAGCAAAGACCAGAAGTGTTTTGCCTTCTTTCATTCTCTATATTCTGTCACAAAACTGGCTCCCCTGCTTTCTTATGGGATGGGGCTTCGACTGATTACTGACTGTCCCTGTGGTTTCCAAAGTTGTCAGGCAAGGTGAAGCCAAGATCAACTCTTTCCTGGGAACAGAATCTCAGGCCTCACTTAGACAGTGCCAACTGAATTAACCTGGGGAAGAAGTGGTAGAAATAACTTGTTAAAGCATGCTCAATTCTACAAGATTTTGCTCAAGGAGTGTACTCAGGGAGGGTGATTACCTATTCACAACTTAACTTGAGGAAGGGATATGGCTTTGGGAATGCCAAAGAAAACTTCACTATTTCTCAGTTTTGCTTAGGGCTGGACATTTTTATCTTTTCTTCTTGTCCAGGCTATAAGCAACTTAAGAGTGAGTACAACACATTTCATTACTTTTGTATTCCTCCTAGTGCCCGACAAAGTGCCAGACACCACTTATATTCCATGAATGTGCAAACGAAAGCAAGATATTAATACTTCCTAGAATTTAAACATTTCTCACTAAATTTTGTCAAGAAAACAAAATGGTTGGAAACAAACTCTATAACTACTAAGTCTTTGATCAGCTATCATTGCATATAGATACATGGCATGAATGTATTGATGTGCTCAATCATCAATTCAGTCATTTTTATTAATCACCTAGTGTCCACCAGGTACTGTGGAGAGAAGAGAATTTGGAAATACTTCATGATTTAAAATTTTTTGAAGGATACAAATCAAGGAATATACAATAAAGTAGGGAAAATGTAAATGTAAACAAATAATTTTATAAATAATTTTACAGTACAAGTGCAATGTTAGTGTCACGTAAAAGCCATGCAGACAACATCAGGATTGCTTCAGCCCTCTCCGAGAAGGTGTCGAATTGGAACAGTTCGTCTGGCCAGAGTGATTGGTGTTGTTCTGGAAGATGGCTAAAATGACTGGATTGGATATGCTGGAAAATAAATATACTTATCCAGGGAATGATTGCTGTATTCTGCTTAAAATGAGAAAAATATAGAATTTTGTATTTTCTATAGTGATTTGATTTTAAAGGACATTTGAAAAAAGTTTTATTTTTTTAAATCCACAAGTTCCAAAACAATCAGTGAAGAAAGGCTGTAACATAGGAGACTTTTATAGTGACTAAAAGTGACCTGAAATTGAGTGGTGGTAATAAGATTAGAGAAATATGGATGGACCCCCTTTGAAATATATAATAATACTTTATGATAAATTGACTATAGTTAACCCTTGAACAACACAGGTTTGAACTGCATGGATCCACTCACACATGGATTTTTTTAAATAAATACTGTAAATGCATTTTCTCTTTCTGATGGTTTCCTTAATAACATTTTTTTCTAGCTTATATTGTAAGACTACAGTACATAATACACATAACATACAGAATATGTGTTAATCAATTATTTATGTTAATGGTAAAGCTTCTGGTTAATAGTAGGCTATTAGTTGTTATGTTTTCAGGAGAGTTAAAAGTAATACATGAATTTTTGTCTGCATGGGGTGGGGGGTTAGCACTTGTAGCCCCCTCGTTGTTCAAGGGTCAAATATATATTAGGATAAATGGAGATAGTTTATTTAAAATTATTGACTTTGATTCTGACATTCGACAATTTAAAATTTGGGTACATAAGAACAGTGTCTTTAGTAAGTGACCAATTTATAAGACTCAGTTCTAGTAAAACATAGGCAAAGTTTCAAGTCAATAGAAAGCACATGAAAATTGCTGTTTAGTTTTAATCTAGAAAGGAGTCATTGGAATCAGAAGTCAAAAGGTGGGCAAGGTTGACTTAGTTTATATCTTTCAGATAATACTAATATTTATCATCTCCCTCCCAACAACCTCAATTTGGAAAATAAGTATTTCCCAGGATGCTTTAGGAAGAGGCAGGAGTATTAACCTCAATCACAAATTCTTCAACAGGTAAAAATGAGGCCAAGCAAGGCTTAGAAATGTGTTTGGTTGGCTAAAAAATCCATTACATTTTTTCCATAAAAGACACATGTTTCATTTTCACCAATTACTTTATTGATTTGGATATTTTGAGTACACAGGCTATCTCTCGCTATTGGCTTCTAGTGAGTAGATGCCAGGGGTGCTGCTAAACATCTCCCAATGCATAAGACAGCCCCACAGCAAAGAATTATTTGGCCAGAATGTCAATAGTACCACAAAACTTTGCCAACCACTTTTGACATATTTAATCAGTCATAACACCTTCTCCATGCACTGCATAAATCTTTTTTTGCATTTCAGTTACATCTTTACCTTTCTGGAAATAATAAAGTATAATACACCAAAAATGTTGCATATTTTCTTCCATCTTCAATATTAAAATGGCTGCACAAAAATTCACCAATTTTGATGTTTTTTTAAATGCACACTGATATGACAGCTGTCACAATACAATCTAACAAAATTGTTTCAAATGAAGTTTAAGACAACTAAGCACTACTAGAGCCATCATATGGAAAAAAACCCCATAATGGACTTTTTGGCCAACCCAATATATATCAGCAAGTGCTTAATAGTCATGGATTGCTTGGTCTTACAGATGTATTAGTTTCAAGATTAGCAAGTGAGCACAAAATATCCATTACTTAGGGGCCCCAGAAGAGACCTGGAGGGTGTTATAAGAATTTTTGTAGAGACTGGAGGTGTCAGTCCAGGTCCCAGAGGGTCTGTAGACTTGCCTCAACCTCCAGGGTAAGTTCTCCACAGCTGAAAAGCCTTTTCCAGGTCTTTAAAGTTGAGAGTGGGTCAGGGTTATTAAAATTAAAGTTTCTAGTGGAAGCTACATTATTTTATTTATATATTACTTTACATATTTATATACATACATATGTATTTTTAATTCCTCTATTAAATATTGAAGAATAGAACAAACATTTCTTTAGTAATTATTGTATGTCAGGGACTTTACACACCTCAACCTATAAGATAGTTTTAACTTTTTATTATGAAAATTTTCATACATAAAAGTAGAGAGTAAAACAACCTTCCACATACCCTTCAACAGTTTAACCTCTGTTGACTTAGTCCAGTTTTATTTCCCCTCTCTCCCTCTCTTCACCCTTATTTGTTGGGAGTATTTTAAAGCAACTTCCACACCTCATGCATTTTTATTCCTAAATGTTTTAGCATGCACCTAAATTAATATATATGTATACTTATATATATTTTTCTTTCATAACCACAATGTCACCTATAAGATATTTTTAGCCCTATTTATTGGTGATAAAATGGAATCTCTGTGAGGTGAACACCTTGCCCAAAGGTCACAGTACAAATAAATGAGTCCGGCAGGGCCAGTCTTATGTTCCCCACTGTGGCATGCTGCCCGCCGTGGCCCTATTGCCATGGCAATGTGTGAAAGTTTGTCCCAAAGGGGAAAGAGCTTAGATACACACTAAAACTGGAACAGCCCATCTCTTACATATTAATTTTCAAATGGCTCTGAGTGAAAACAGGTACATGAAGTGATTTCATAATTATACAGATTAAACTATCTACAGAGTGTGCTTAATAATTTTTGATCAAAGACAAGCAGAGTCATCTTTTGTGACTAATTTCCACTACACTTTTATGATATATTTTATGCAAATACTTAGTTTCCTAAATGTAAGATGTGTCACACAAAGTAGTTAATGTAAAGCTTTTCTTTGTCTGAACAATCTATGTGAATGTGGTTTTCCCACTAAACCCCACGAGAGTAATCAAATGGATAATGAGTGGCTTGGCTGCTGAACTTTCAATGAAAGCAAATGTTCTAACAGTGTGCATCTTTAGCCGTCCTCTGTCAGATCAGGGTATTTCTAATGCCACACTAGTCACACCACTGCAAGAGCCAGGGGGTTATCCATGCTGCACTTAACTAGAGTGTCAACCTTACTAATTAATTTTGTATTAAAAAGTGTGTATATTCATTATTCAGTAGAATACAAAATTTGCAGGAATTTAAAAGCCCAATCCCTAAAGTTCTGCAAAGTTATTGCTATAGGCTGGTTATAGGGCTGTGGTCCAGATTCTTTTTTCTGCTCCTAAAAATATTTGGGAGGAAAAGTTTGAGAAGGACTATTAATTGAAGAGTAAGATGATAAAGTATAAAATCAGGCAATGAAAAGTAGATAGGAGGAAGAAGGAGGTAAGAGGCACTGGACCAGAAAAGAGGAGAAAACCTGGGCTGGAGTATGAGGAATAAGAGAAAGGAAGAGATCCGAGATTCCTAACAGGTTCCTACCTGGATGATTGGGAGGTAGAGAACAACATCAACAAAGCAGAAGAAACTGAAATCATTGGTGGAAGGAGCTGGGGCTCAGGGCTTGAGAACAGTGTAAGGAATTGAGTGAGATAACATGGTAAAGGTCAACTGGAGGTCAATTACAAAACAACTGAGCAGCACTGGGAACTCATCTGCTGTTAGAGAATAGGAATTTGTAGTAGAATCTGTGTCCACTGTTCCATGACCTATGGGAGGGATGCTCAAGCACACAGGGAAGAAAAACAGCTGGTTTGTTTTTTCCAAGCTTGGGAAGTTAAGGGAATAAGAATAAGTGCATCTGTGACGTAGCAAACCTTTTCAGGGACCAAGATTTTAGAAGTTCTAGGTGGCACAGGGTGGCTATATTGGAGTGGCACTGCCTCTTTAAAGAAAAAACCCTGACATTTCAAGCTCTGTTCTGAAAACTATTACGAGGCTTTACTGAGACTTAAGAACCTACTAGTTAAACAGGCATTCAAAAATTTATTAGATATTCACTCTCACAGACCCCAGGGATGTCCTTCAACATCACTCAACATCTGCAGTTTCTTTGAACTTTTTCTTTGGAACTCCAAATGTGCTGACATGTGTAAAAGATGTATAAATCAAAGTGATGTTTTAATTCACTAAGTGCCTGAAGTGAAGGTGCCCTATGAAAATATATTCAATGAGAAGTTGGTGTGTCGTTGTGTGTGTTATCACAACTGCACGCACCGTTGTGTGCACTAGAGACAGACAGCCCCTGCCCCCACCACAGCAACGCAAATCCACCTTCCACACACATGAAGGAACCAAGAGAACAGAGCTCACCTCTAGTTTCTGGTTCAGATTGCTCGGTTCAAAGGGTATTTCTTCTTTTAGGTGTGGTAACTCTTTTCGCTGAAATTTGTTTTGTTTCATCTGGTGTAATCTCAGTTTTTCAAAGCTATTAGTTAGTTTGGAAAACTGTAAATAATAGAGAGAATGCTAATGTTTTACTATTACTGGTAATTTTTAACTTGGTTTACTATCATTCTTTTCTTGTGTACCTCTTTGAAAATTTAAGTCATGATTAGAAAATGCAGTAAAGCTTAAATATTCCAATTAGTGAAGATAGAACCAGTTATTAGAACTAAATTATTAAAGCTGAACACAATTTAGCTTTCACATAAATTTGGGACTTCTTTAACTGCACAGTTAAACACTGGTTCACTTGATAAATGTTTTGTTCAGTTTTGTTTTAACCATATGTAGCCAAGCTTAAAATTTTTAAAAACTCAAGTTTTTTCTTTACTTTATTTAGTGCCATCTTGTGTTGACAATTTAAATTTCAGGATCTCAATCTATAAAATTAGCAGTTTATACTTTATTCAAGAAAATGGAATACTTAATTTAAAAGACAGAAACAACATAAGTGACTTACTCATGTTGATATAAGCTTAAATTTAAATATCAAAATTGAAACATTTTTCTTACCAATAATTCCTTTTACAATTTAGACCATTATTTTTTTATGTTTCTTTTTCTACTGTCAAATAATAGATTAAGAACAGCATGGTCTATCAACATCTGTGATGAAAGTTTTATGTAACTGTTTACAAAAGTTTTTATTTTTAGTTGCAAATATAGATTCACAGGAAGTTACAAAGATATCACAGAGAGGTTCTGAATCTGTAATATTGAATCTGTAATTCTCCCAATACTTACATCTTAATGAACAATATTGAACCCAGGAAATTGATGTCAGTATAATACATGTGTATAGTTCTATGCCATTTTTATCATGTGTAGATTTGTGTGACCACAACCACAATCAAGGTACAGAACCGTTCCATCACCACCAAGATCTCCCTGGTGACACTCAGCAGTCAATCCCACACCCCTAATGCCAGGCAACCATCAACTGTTTTCCATCTCTATATTTGGTCACTTTGAGAGTGTTATAAAATGGAATCACACAATATGACATTATGAGATTGGCTTGGTTTTACTCCGCCTAATGCCCTTGAGATGCACATGAGTACCCATAGTTCATTTCTCTTTATTGCTCAGCATGATTCCATGGCACAGGTGTAACCACAGCTTATTTAACCACTCACATATTGAGACATTTTGGGTATTTTCAGTTTTTGCCTATTACAGATAAAGCTATGGACACACAGTTGTCCATAGCTTTATCAGATATTAAATAGTCACTTCTGCTTTCTTTTTTCTTTCTCATGTAATTTAAAAATTGAGATATAATTTACCTGCCATAAAACTCACTCTTTAAATCACAAAGTTCATTGGTTTTTAATATATTCACCAAGTTGTGCAACCACTATCTCATACCAGAATATTTTCATCATCACAAAAAGAAATGCCATACCATTCATATTGACCGCACATTCTCCCCTTCCCCAAGCCCCTGGTCATTGCTAACATCCACTTTCTGTCTCTATTGATTTGCCCATTCTGATCATTTAATATTAATGGAGTCATCCAATATGTGGTCTTTTGTGTTTGGCTTCTTTCTTTTAGCATAATGTGTTCAAGCTTCATCCATGTTATAACATGGATCAATAAATACTTCCTTTTTATGGCTATTAGTCCATTTTTTGGATATATCACTTTTTATTCACCCATTCATCAATTTAGGGACATTTGGGTTATTTCCACTTTTTAGGCTATTATAAAAAATACTATAAACATTTGCACAAGTTTTTGTGTGGATATATATTTTTATTTCTCTTGGGTATATAGCCAAGAGTAGAATTGCAAGGTCATGGGAAACTTGAAGTTCAACATTTTAAGAAACTGCCCAACTGTTTGAAGAAAAGGCTGAATCATTTTCAATTCCCACTGGCAATGTATAGGGTTCCAATTTCTCTGTACCCTCATCGATACCAGCTCTTTGATTATAGCCATCCTAGTGAATATGAAGGGGTATCTCATGGTTTTGATTTACATTTTCCCAATGACTAATGATGTTGAGCATTTTCATATGCTTATTGGCCATTTGTATATCTCTTTTATAGCAATGCTTATTTATATCTTTGCTTGTTTTAAAATTTGGTCATTTGTCATTTATTGTTGACAAGTTATTTTTTAATTTGAGATACTCACCACTTATCATAGATATGATTTGCAAATATTTTCTTCCACTTTGTGTATTGTCTTTTGACTTTCTTGATGGTGTCCTTTGAAGCACAAAGATTTTTCAATTTTGATGAAGTCAAGTTTATTTAATTTTTCTTGTGCTTTTGGTGCCAAATCTAAGAAACCATTGCCTCATGCAAAGTTAGAAATATTTGCTCCTAATGTTTTCTTCTAAGAGGTTCAGTTTTTACAGTTAGGTCTTTGATCCATTTGAATTAATTTTTGTCTATGGTTTAGGTAAGGGTCCAACTGAATTCTTTTGTATGTGGATATTCAGTTGTCCTTTTAGTGTTTGTTGAACAGACAAGAGTCTTTTCCCAGTGAATTATCTAAGCATCACCTTTGCTTTTTTATTAATATTTGGGTTTATCATGTTTGACTTTCACTAAACTTCTTGAATCTGTAAGTTTATATCTTTTCAGCCTTACTTCAATGAGTACTTTTTCATTCCCACCATTTTTTTCCTCTCCTTCTGTGACTCTGATGACACAGATTTTCAATCCACATCCTTGAGGTTAATTTTCTTAGTCTATTTTCTTTTTTTAATATTCACCTGAAAATTTTTTAATTCATTTTAGAGGTGAAGGGATAGATAGATAGATAGATAGATAGACAGATAAAGAAAAACCGATGTGAGAGAGAAACATCAATTGGTTTCCTCCCATGCACTCTCAACTGGGTATGGAATCTGCAATCTAGGGGTGTGCACTGACTGGGAATTGAACCCACAACCTTTTGGTGTACAGGAAAACACTCTAACCAACTGAACCACTGGCCAGGAACTGTTAATCTATTTTCTTTCTGCTATTCAGATTGGGTAATTTCTATTTTGCTATCTTCAACTTCATTGATTGTTTTTTCTGTCCTCTCCCTTCTGCTTTTAAGCCCATCCATTGATTTTCTTTTTTTTTTAGTTTGGTTATTTTATTTTTCAGTTATAAAATTTCTAATAAATTTTGGTTGTTCCTTATAGTTCTATTTCTTTGCTAAAACTTTCTAATTTTTCCTTTGTTTTAATTATGTTTGTAAATTTTTCATTGAAGAATTATTATGCCAGCTGCTTTGAAATCCTTGTTGGATAATTCTAACATCTGTATCAACCTGCTGTTGGATTATCTTTTCATATTTGAGTTGAGATCTTTGTGGTTCTTAGTATAATGAGTGGTTTTTTATTGAAACTCACACATTTTGGAGTATTGTGTTATGACACTCTGGATTTTATTTAAATATTGTATTTTAGAAGTCCTCTTCTGATAACATTCCAACATGCAGAATGGCCTGCTACCTCATTACCTCCAGGTAGCAGTGTAAGTCCAGGTCTTGGCCTTAGCTGGTAACCCAGGAAAGGTATTACTTGCTACTTTTGAGTGGGAGTGGGACCTCAGGTTCCCTGCTGGTCTTTTACTGACACCACCTTGATTAGAGAGGCATCGGTGCCTTACTACTGTTTACACATGACCTTCAGTGATACTACAGTGAGAGTAGGTAGCCTTGTTACCACTGAGGGGTGAGGAATATCATGCTTCCTCATTATGCTTCCTGATACCATTCCAGAGAGGAGGAGGAGGCATGCCTCATCATCAGCAGATAGACATAGAAATCTAGGCTCTTCGTGATACAGATAAGCCTGGACAGACCTGGCCAGGGGCCCAACCTGGCCAGTGCCCAAGTGTGAGCTGTGCAAACAGGAGCAGAGGAGAAGGGCTGCAGGAGGCTAGTGTGGGTGCATAATGACAGATTCTCCACCTCCAGACAAAGATCTGTCAGGAAGAAGTCACTGTGTGCAAAGCTAAAAGCCTTCCTATTCCCTCCCAATTGATCCCTGGGTGGGGCTGGGACCAGAGAACATAGTTGCATATGACTGTACAGGTCAACATGAAGGCGAAGGAGATGCTGTCCTGTCAGTCTAGCCTTGGAAAATGATGGGATTGGCTGAAGCATGCCATACCCTCCTTGAGAGCACAGAAGTTTGGACCAGGAGATTTAAATTGAGGGAAGAGAGAAATGTGCTCTTCTTCTTGGACCCACCTGGCAGATGCGTTGGCTGGGGCTTGTGGGATTGGCTGGTTCTGGAAACCTCATGGTGAATGGCAACTCTGACAACACATGCAGACTCCAGGAGGGACCCTGAAGCTGGAGAGCTGCTGGCATAGCCACCTTTGGCTCCAAAGGACAGATAAGGATGAAGTGGAAACTCTGGGCATTGTTTTGGGCTTTGGTCTTTTTGGGAACATCTGGATTTTGCTTGTGTTTTATGGAAGAGATGAGCCTAGATGAGGATGGGGAATCCCCCATCCTCCCAAATTATACAACATTTTAATAAAGACCTCTTTCCTTCCTCACCAACCTCTGTCTCCAGAATTTTCCTGTGGGTGACGATGGGTAGCTGAACCCCACTTTTGTTTAATAACATTCACATGGTCTCCACTGATGCCATGGTTTGTGGGGGGTGCTTTGTTAGTGCCTAATAGTAATGAAATTCCTGCCTCTTCACTCAGTCTTCTCTGATACCTCCCAAATGGGGAAGGGACTACTGGTCTACCTCATTATAGCATGGTGAGGGTGGAAACTTAGGTTGTCCACCTTACTGGGGTGGGTTTTAGGTTGTAGAGTTTTTCTGGGGGTATTGGCTGGAATACTCATGTTTAATTTTGTTAGGTTGTCTTTTTTTCTGGTCTTTTTGCTGAGGAGGGAAGGCTTCCTGTGAGGCTTTTTTTGTTTGTGCCCACTGGAGTATCTGGGTTTCTTGCTTCTTTGTTATGCAGTCAGGGACATATGTGGCAAATAGAAATCTCAGGGAACTCACTATTATGTCATTCCTTGGGTCCCAAGTTCTAATTGGCCTTTCCCTTCTCTACACTTCTTAGAGTCTTCTTATCTGTTTTATAAATAATGTCCAGGGTTTCTAATTGCATTTAGCAGGAGGAATAGGGAAAATTAAACCTACTCCATCTTTCCAGGAGTGGAAATCTCAAATACATACATATTTTGTAGAATTCTATAATGGTTAGAAGGAAAAGAAAATACCCCCACCCTTCTTTAAAAAAACGCAATTTCTACATGAAAGCTTTGACAGAGTTGAATTATTCAAGGCAGAGTGCGATGAAGTGTATCCTTAAGATATTTTAGGAAAATGAAATTGTACATAAACTAGGAATTTCAAAGAAGGAAGCAGTTGAGTAAGCTGGCAGCAACAAAAGCATGTTTGCCACAAGACAGCATTTTTCTGATTAGAAAAATGACATATTACTAGCTATCATGCAAACCAAGTCAAGTTCATAGTACTTTTTTCTCTTTGTGTTTTTATCTCCTTCCCTCTTTCTTTTTCTTCTGCTTTCTCTAATTCTCTTCTTTCTTTTCTTGTAACCAGAGGGAAAAAGAGAGGCAGAAAATGGTAGTGGAAACAGATGGAGGTTCTTTCAACATTAATGTAGTGTTTCCAATGTGTGTCCTGTGAAATACCTATTTACAACATTTACATTGTAATACTGAACCACAATATTGGTAGGTTTTGGTTTAAAAATAAAAAGGTTTTATGGTAAAAATGTTTGGAAAATGATGGATTAAAATGGCTAAATGCATTTGTTTAAAGCAGATCTTCTCACAGCCTCTAATATGCTAATAATTACTCTGAATAACCAGGAGCAGAGGAGTAAGCATTTCCTAAACTCTCAGTATCAGCGATGCACAGAACAAATTTCTGTGAAATTGCCATAAAGATATTTCTTGGTTAGCCATTTACATTTCTATATATTTTCAAATTCATTCCAGATCATAATCTCTTTGTTTATACTGAAGAATTATAGTGATTAAATATTTATATTGCAACTTTAGACCTTTGTAGAAAATGCAAGGTTGATTGAATGAATTGTTAAATGCTTACATTCTTAGCAAGAAAAAAATCATATGATGTTTCATAATTAAAGCTACCAACTAGTGGCAGCTGTTACAATTGCAGACAAAATATCTTAAGAGCTAGTCTTAAAATATCATACCTATTATGTGGCATCAAATGTTTCATATTCCAATATTAATGGCTGGTAATCTCCCTAAAAAGGTACTTAAGGAGGATGTGTTAACTACTTTGGGCTCCTTTAATTATATTATCATTTATGAAATCTTTGTACTCCCAAGAAAGTTGGTTGTAAAGCACAATTTCATAGTCAAACCATATTTTACATTGATTCATTTACTAAGTTAAGCAAAGGATATAGCATCTACTATACCTCAGATGCTCAGATGATTACTGTCCTGTGTGTTATCTGTGTAAGGGAGAGAAGACTTTTTGCCTTCTAGCAGTGGGGAAATGTAGGGATAAATAAGAAAAAAATCAGTATCCCTCTCATCACATGTGCAGAGCCCTATCATCTCTGATAGGGCCTACCAGTAACAAAGTAATAAAGACCAGTTTTGTTCTTTCAGTTATCTATTCATAATAGCAAATGTGCATATTTTAAATTGCCATAGAAAAATGGACTTCCTTATTAGAGACTAATGAGCACAAAACACTAATTTTGTTTTTTCGTTGTTGTTCACACAGTTATGTAGTACAATTAATCAACAAGTCACTTGATAAACAGAAAGCTATTAGTCTAGCACTGTGCTAACAGTTCAAGAGATACAATCTAGTAAAAGACAAAAATCAATACATATAAAACAATGAAAGACAGGGTCAAACATATAGCCTGTAGTTAAAATGTAAGAACTTTTGTTTGTATTAAAAACAGCCATTTTAATAAAGTTAACACAAATTTATAGGTCAAAACATATATCATAATGTGATATTAAATAAATAAGCCCCCTTACTTGAATTTTTAGGGTTTGTAGTTGTCCTTCATAATTCTGAGTCATTGCTAAGTTACATTTTTCCAGACTGTCCAACTTCTGTCTAAGTAATCCCACCTGCATTGAGAATACAATTTAATTTTCATTTTACTAAATTTTGCCTGACCAAAAAAATGTGCAAAAGAGGGATACAATTTAAATAAAGCTGCTATACCAAACCAAGAAGAAAGATTACTGCAGTGCTTTAAATACCTATTAACAATTAAATTCACAAAAACAAACACTACTGGCACTGTTCCACTGGGCACACCTCGGGATTGGGACAGCATGGAACGGATGTTTGATGAAAGATCCATATCACCATCACATTTCACATAAAGGCTTAGACTTTACTTTGCATTACCTTTTTGGCAGGCTTATGTTACTGTTGGGCAGAACTTCTACCGACTCACTTCACATCTTATTTTAAGCCCCACTGTCTTCAATGGGAGCTCTGCTTTGGTGGGATGGTAGACAAAATGTTACATTTTTATAAGAATTAACTTATTAAAAAGAAAAAAAATGTCTAACATGAGTTCTTAGGGATTTGGCTTACAGAATTTGTCTGCTTAAAAACCAGGTGAGGCACCTGTTTACACATCTGTGTCACTCCAGGTACGAAAGGGAGAGAATAGTCCCTTGCATACAAACTGTGAAGAGAAACCAGAAGCCAGTAACACAGTTAACTACACCAAACAGTAACACAGTTAACTGAGCCAAAACTGAGCTCTAGTGAGAGGCCAATAAAGGCAAAAAAAAAAAAAAGGCTGTTGACCACATCAACTGATGATGCTTCAGGATATAGTTAGTAAACATTTCGGCCTCTCCCAGGAGAAAAATTCACAGGCACAAAAGTCCACTGCAGGTAAAGCATGTGGTGTTCCCCGAACTCCCCTGCAGGCCTGGGAGCTCTTGTACAGTCCATGGGGGCCTAGCCAGCCTCGCAGGGGCCAAGGGCTCACCTCTTGAGTGGGTGCCAGGTACACACACACATCCTTCACCAAACTCATGACATTTCACTTCTTTCAGTAGATTAGAAAGTGCAAATGTTCCTGAACTCTGCCTTGTCCAAGGACCCAGCTTTGACAACTACAGACTTGTTTCTATAGCAGCAAAAGCACTGACATCTTTCTTGACCACGATATTTATTACACATACATATTGAATGTTTGTTTACTTTTCTAGATGACATTGATACTATATTTCTGTCTGCATCAGCAAATTTTTATAGGTTTAGCCTCTGTCACTTATTTTCATAGAACACATTTAACACACTAGGACAGAATTTCAAGCAAAAATTGCTATTGCTGATGCCTCATAAAAACTATGTGTAATGAAAACATAGGCTGATAGACTAAATACTATTTAGAGAAGTCTGAAGAATTAATGGTTTATGAACACAAATGTTCAGTACCTCTTGACCCTTCTGATCCAGACAAGTTTGTGCATTTGCCAACTCCTGATCCCGTAGATCTAATCTTGTTTCCAAAGCCCGCATCTTCCTTTCCCAGTCCAGTTTTTTGTTGTTTACCATGATGTCAATCTGTTCCATTAATTCCTGAAGCTCGGCCTCACAAGGAGAAGTTCTGCCAATTGTAGAAAAGTAGAACACATTTTTAAAGAGTTAAATGTGAGGGCAAAAAAAATTATTACATTGCTCTGCATAAATCATTATTTCCTTAAACTGTTCAATTATGTAAATAGTAAGAAGCCTGAAAGCCAGAAGTTAATTTTTAAAATTAAAACTAAAAGCTAATTTCAGACCTAACAGTGTATTTAAATTAATTTTTTAAAATGACATTTGCTAAAATATAGCTGCTGTCATAATATAATAAAATACATTGATAAAGTCACTGTCTGCATTCTCTTCTTCACGTAGGTGATAGCACATGGGTCTCCCTGAACCAGAAGTTTTGACTTAGACAAGCGAGTTCTAGGATGAAAACACATTGTTTGGATTATGTCAGAAATAAGTTTGTACTACAAGTTAGCTAAATAAATAAATAAATAAATAAATAAATAAATAAAATTTTCAGAGTGTATGAATTCTAAGGGAAATTCTAATTATGAAAAATGGTTCAATATTCTTACATGTGAATATCCATGTACCTCTGTCTATCTTAACTTGAGGGGGCTTGAGGGCAGACAAACTGGGACTTGAGTTGTGCATGTCAGGGACAGAAGATCGAGCCCAGTCAAGGTAGGACCAGATTCAAAGGTACAACTTGGGCTATGGAACTGCAGGGGAACTTGGTGTGATATGACAGGTATCTGTTTGAAAGGAATCTGATCAGGCAGGTGTGGGCAAAGGAATGTAGTAAGTCTTTAGATAGTGGGGATACTGTCAGTCAGAGGTGGTAGCATCTTGGGCCTCTGAGGGTTTGTTGTGTTTGAATGGAAACTCTTGGTAATAATTAGAATTACAGAGACTCAGAGAGTGGTGAGAAGAGAGGTGCTGAATGCTTCCAGGGCAGGGTTCTCCTTCAGAAAAGCTGACTCGTTTCCCAGGCACCTAGCACAGTCCAGCCATTCAGACCAGATTAGCAGGTAGACATTGAAGCCTCGGACTTCAGCCTAAAGAACACACACATGTCCATATTAGAAAGTATGTTATTTCAACACCCATTCAATAGTGGTAATGGAGCTTCTGATATCTTTGTGTAGCTGGGAGGAAGGCAAGAGGAGAGGCAAATACAAAATGATAGTTCCTCCATTTAGTTTCACTGAGTCAGAATTTTAGGACTAATAAAGATCATTTAGCATTTTGAAAAAACTGAGGCCCAGTGAAGTCAAAGCCACACATTAATTAGTGGAAGAGCCAGAACTAGATTATAAGCAGCTGCTTCCCATCTTGAGCTCCTTCCTGTATACCACACAGGACATGTGGTGTTTTGAATACAAACTTGCTTGAAATACAGGGTCCGGTACAAATAACACCACTTTTTATTACATAAAATATTTTATTACAAAATCATAAGCATGTAACTGTTTAATATAACAATATCACACTCAAACATACCATATGACATTTTAGGTGAGATGTTCAAATTGCTGTCTACCTCGTGTGAGACATTCACACACTCTACTAACCACACTCAGTGATGTTACTTCTGTTGGACCTGTATATAATCCAAGTTAGCTCCATTGCAATAGGATTAGAAAGAGTGGTAAGAACCCAAAGACTCAGAATTCCAGAATAACTTACTAAAACAACCAGAGTCAACCCAAACCAAGGATTTCCCTTTGAATGGTTTATTCAACTGCAGAGAGGTTTAAAATACAAATGGCCATTCTGAAGTCTCCTAGCATTCCTAGGCTAAGGGCCAAAGGCTGTCAAGTTTTACTTAAACCAAAACAAATCTGAGCAAAGGAAGCACTAATTTCTCTCTATATAACTTGATTAAATTTTAATTGGAGTTATGATGTGGGGGAAAAATAACAGAATAAAAACAATGGTTTTCACACCATTTTTCTTTCCATAACAATATGTATCACCCTTTACTGTAAATATCTTTTATTTTCCTGCTATATTAAGCTCTAAAAAAAACTATATCAGCTTTGTTCCTCACTATCTCATTAGGGCTCAACACAGTGCCTTGGTACATAACAGATGCTCAATAAATCTTTGAAAAATGAACATATGAGTTTTAAAAATATTTTATTGATTATGCTATTACAGTTGTCCTGAATTTTCCCCCTTTTACCCCTTCCACCCAGTACCCCCATGCCCTCAAGCAATCCCCACACCATTTTTCAGGTCCATGCATCATGCATTTAAGTTCTTTGGCTACTGCATTTCCTTTACTGTGCTTTACATCCCCATGGCTATTCTGTAACCACCTATTTGTACTTCTTAATCCCCTCACCTCTTCACCCATTCCCCCATACCCTCCTCCCATCTGGCAGCCATAAAAATGCTCTCTGTATCCATGATTCCGTCTCTGTTCTTTTTCTTTGCTTCATTTGTTTTTTAGATTAAATTGATGATAGATAGGTATTTTTTGCTCTTTTATTGTTCCTACTTTTGATCTTCTTTTTCTTAAATAAGTCTCTTTAACATTTCATATAATAATGGTTTGGAGATGATGAACTCCTTTAGTTTTTCATTGTCTGGGAAGCTCTTTATCTGTCCTTTGATAAATGATATCTTTGCTGTATAGAGCAATCTTGGCTATAGGTCCCTGGTTTTCATGAGTTGGACTATTTCTTGTCAATCCTTCTAGCTTGCAAAATTTCTTTTGAGAAATCAGCTCATAGTCTTAAGGGAGTTCCCTTGCAGGTAACTAACTGCTTTTCACTTGCTGCTTTTAAGATTCTATCTTATCTTTAACCTTTGCCATTTTAATAATGACATGTCTTGCAGTGGGCCTCTTTGCAACCATCTTGTTTGGGACTCTGTGCTTCCTGGACTTGCATGTCTATTTCCTTCACCAAATTAGGGAAGCTTTCTTTCATTATGTTTTCAAATAGATTTCCAATTTCTTGCTCTTTTTCTTCACCTTCTGGCATACCATCATACAAATGCTGGGCCTCTTGAAGTTGTCCCAGAGACTGCTTATACTATCTTCATGTTCTTGGATTTTTTTTTTATTCTTGTTCTGGTTGGTTGTTTTTTTTGCTTCCTTATGTTCCAAATCATTGATTTGATTATTGGCTTCATCCATTTGACTGTCGTTTCCCTGTAAATTGTTCTTTTTGTGTATCCTTTGTTTCTGATAGGATCTTTTTTTATGCTGTTGAGGTCCTCACTAAGTTCTTTGAGCATCCTTATAACTAGTATTTTGAATTCTGCATCTGATAGATTGTTTATCTCCACTTTGTTTAGCTCTTCTTCTGGAGTTTTGATCTTTTCTTTCATTTGGGCCATGTTTCTTTGTCTCCTTGTTTTGGCAGCCTCCCTGTGTTTATCTCTATGTATTAGGTAGAGCTGCTTTGACTCTGTGTCTTGGTAGTGTGGCCTAATGTAGTAGGTATCTTGTAGGGTCCAGTGGCATATCCTCCCCTATTACCTAAGCTAGGTACTCAAGGTGCATCCTTTGGGTTGAGTACGCTCCTCTTGTAGCTGGGCCTTGGTTGCTGTTAGCAGATCAATGGGAGGGATTTACCCAGACCAGTCAGCTGCAAGGACTGGCTGTGACCACTGACCACCAGCCTCCCTCCTCTGTAGAGGATCAGCTATGGAAGGGCAGTGTGGCGGTGCTCCGATAGCTATCCACTGGATGCATTGGCCTAGAAGTTTCTTGGCTGGTGCAGGCCGAGGTCAGCCCCCACCTGTGTTTTGCCCTGCCATCCTGCCTGATATAAAGCAATCTGAGATAACTGCTACTTATGCTGGGCTTGGAGATTCCCAGGCAAAGCTAAGCTCTGAATCTGTTGGCTGCTGCTAGTTCTTTTCCTCATTATCTTATCTTCTTGGCATGTAGGAATGCACCATGCTAATGGAATTAAAATATAAGCCTAAAGTAAAGTGTGGCATAATGTAAGCTACTCAATCAATATTGTTAAATAAATGAATAAATGGTTTATTTCCCAGTTATATCTATGCTATGCTAAAGTTAGGCTATTGTACTCTTGGGGTGGAATGACTTTTGCAAGTCATCTAATCCAACTATCCATACAGTGTCTGCATATCTTCCACAAATGTTTCTTAAGAGAATCATCCATCATATCCCACTAATCAGATACAGGAGGTCTAGGATAGAGCCCAAGATTCTGTACTGGTGACAAAGATATCAAGTAATTCTGGTGCTTGTCAAGATTTGTGATTTGTTTTGCCATATCACTGCCAAAAGGTTATCCAGCCGATGTCTGAATTCCTCCTTTAGCAGATAACCACTGACTGAGATTGTATCTAGATAGTTTGAGTGTTTAAAAGTTCTTTCTTTTACCAAAGAGTTTTTTTATCCACTAGTCCTAATTTAATCCATTGGTACTATTAAAAACAAATGCTTTTTCAATACAGTTGATCTTAAAGTATTTGAATACAGTTATCAACATGATGAATAGTTATCAGTGTTCCTCCTTATTCTTCCAAGGCTTCTGTTCTTAATGTTCAATACTAGAAACTGAGCATACAAACAGACAATGACCAGAACACATGGTAATAGACTCTGACCCATAACCTCTACAGCAGTAATCCTTGAGTGGTCAATGACTGACAACTTCCTTAATTTTTGCCTCTACTTCCAAATCAGGGCATAGCCAAAGAGAAAGCCAAATATGCTTCCCAAATCAATCACATAAGATTCCCTGCTTCTAATATCCTGCCTCCAGCTTCTCTGTGCCAGTAGCCTCCAATTAGAGCACACCTGAAGCTTTTTGTTCACTATAGAGCTTTTCTACTCCCCTGCCTGCCATTGAATCTCTGTCAAATGCAAGTGATGGTTGCTGTCTTCCTTGCTGTAGCAAGCTCCGACTTAGATAGGCTTCATTTGTTCTCATTTGTATGGTCTTTGTTTATCTCTATAAGTATCTTTATTTCCTTCAATTGATCATAGAAAATTTTTTTCTCTACCACTCACTACTTAGCATACTGCCTGGAAAATACTAGATGCTTAATATACACATGTTAAATAAATGAAAGCAT